GGCCATTATTATTTTTACTTAGCAATAATAGGAGTGAATAGTTAATAAACATTATTAAATGGCGGAAAGGTTTTATATTAGTAATTAAGTATAGCTATCCTTAAGGTACTTTTAAACTACTTAATTAATAAAGAAGCTTAATTAGCTATATTAAAAATATATTATAGTAAATATTTTTATGCCTTAAACAATTATTTTAAACATACTAGGCTGGGTTTATTCTACCTTTAATGTTAATTAAATTAAGCACATTGCAAAGAATTTACTACTTACTTAAATATTTATAAATACTTAGCTAAATGCTATGTTAATTTTAAATAAAGTAAATAAGGGTTAAGATAAGGAGTACCTTATAGAGGAAATCCTGGCGGTTAAAAACGCGCTAAGGTATTTATAAAATAGTTTCTTTAAAAGGTAGGTTTACATTAAATAAAAAGGCTAGGATATATTAATATAAGAACTCTTTAGGAACTTATAGGGATTAATAGCCCTTAATTTATTTAAGGCATGGTAGGGGGATGCTATTACTTATAAGGGATTGCTTATTTAAGGTAGTTGCGGGGTAAGCCTGTATTAGGCTTAATAGGCTTAATAAGGTGTAATGCGAGGCAATGAGGATTATAAATAGGGATAGGATGGAGATAAGTGGAATCCTATTATGCTATTATGAGCTATTTAAACGGGGCTGCAAGGTAAGCCCTAAGTATTTATTATGCCTAGGTAAGGCGCGGTGATGGTGGGATTTGAACCCATGACTTTATTTATATATAGATGCTCTTGATTAATTAAAACTTATTATGCACCTGCTTGGCAGATAAACTAAATCCTTTTTTTATAAAAAAATTGGGTGGTATATTGGCTAGAAGAAAACCAAGCTATATAATTAATCTTTCGCGAGGCAGAATTATACTAGGCATACTACCCTTTTAAAATTCCTTTATTATTATTTATTTAAGCAGGCATATTAAAAATATTTAATTATAAAATTAAAACTATAGGGGTTAGCAATAAGGCTATGGTAACTTAGTAATAGTAGGAGTTAAACTTATGAACTTTTTATTTAAAGATAAAGCTTTTAACTACTTAAACTTATTATGGCTATAATAATAGGTTAGGTTAGTTAGTGCTTGCAATAAGGGGCATTGCAATTAAAAGAGGGCAAGTCCTTAAAGTCTTCCTCCTTATCTTTTTGCTTTTCTTTCTTAAACTTATCGTAAATATAATGGCAACTTAAATTATAATTGCGCTGCTTGGTATTAAAAACTTAGCTGGCAAGGGCATTTAGGGCGTTAATTATTGCATTAAACTCCTTGCAATAGCGATCTTTAAATATATTAAAGCATGCTTAAGGTTGGGTTAATATAAATATAGGAAAAAAATGGGGGGGGGTACTTATATTAAGAGCGCATATATTATTAGCATAATGATTAGCTTTAGCTCTTTAATTATTATTAAGGGTTATAAAGGCGTTTATTACTTCTTAAGTAAAGCGGGTTAGCTGGTGGTTGCTAGTATTAATATTATTAATGTAATGCATAATTATATTAGCATTAGCAGGGGATGAAAATATATTAGCGAGCTGCGATAGGGTTAAGGGTATACCTTTAATAGGGTTGATAGGGGCATTAATTAGGATTATATTGCAAGAATAAGCATGGCTACTTAAGTAAATGGCAAGGGTAGTAGGGGGTAGCTTTGCTAGCGTAATGTTTATAGCCTTATGGAAATTAGTAATAATATGGTTAAAGGCTAGGGTAAATATAGCTGCATTATTATAAGTAAAGGTAGCAAACTTAACTTACTTAGGGATAAGAATATAATTATTATTAGTAGTAATTGCTTTTTTTAAATAATGCTATGCATTTTATAGCAGCGGTAAATTAATAAATGCATATATATGCTAAATGCATTTATATTTGCAATGGTAATAGCTAATATAAAATGTATTATAACCTTTAGGGATATAAATAGGCAGCTTATTAATTTTATAAAAAGTTATAATATATGGTTTGTAAGAAAAGGGTAATTGCTTAGTAGGCTGTTAATCTTTATTATTAAAATTGTTAAGCACTTAATATAATCTTATAACGCAATATCTTTATACTTAGTTAGTAATTATAGTAAATTTATGCTAAGGGAAAGATAGGGTAACCTTAGGGGTTATATTATTAAGGCAATAAGGCAGCTTATTATTGCTATTATTATTAGTAGTAGTTGTATTAAAGCTATTATGCTAATTATTAAAACTTATAATAAAAGCTATTTCTTATTTTTCTTTTTATATAGCGGAAAGAAAGCGGGTATTAAGGAGGATATTAAGGGATTAAGAGGGTATTAATGGGTTAAGAGAAGAGCGCTTAATGAATAGGATATAAATAAAGGGGGATATATTAAGGAATTGTTAAGGGATTAAAAGGGTATTAATGCATTAAGATAATGGCTTTTTAATGAAAAAAAGCGGCCATAGGGAGAGCATAATAAGCGTGAGGATAAATGGCTGGAGGATTAAATTGCAAGGAGGCTAAGGGATTATATAAATATTAATTAAGCTAGGAAAGGCTTTTTAATTAAGAGCAAGATAAAGCCAAGGGGTAATTAATATAAATAAAGAAATAATTATAAAGATAATGGGAAGATTATATAAAGGTAATAAAACAGCGCGCATAATGGATATATTATGGTAATGATATAGTATTAAAAAGAAGGAATTGCAAAGGGGAGTGTAATTATGGGGAAGTTGTTTTAAATAGTGATAATAAATATAGTATAGGGGTAATGGTTGCGGTAAGCAATGCTAATATATTAATAAGGGCGCGCTATGGCTTAAGGCTAATAATATATATAGCTTATGTATAATCATAATGTATTAATAAAGAATTATATATATAGCAGCAATATTATTATATTATAATAGTACTATATTATGCTAAGCATAACATATGAATATAGCTAATGCAAAAATAAAATAAATGATTATTGCTCTTAAGGTAGATAGATATGGCCTTGAAATAAGTATATAATAAGGTAAATATATAATTGGCATAAGATTGTAAGAGCCTTAGGTTTAATCCTTATTGTGCATAATATAAAAGTGGAAAGGGGGTTATATAATAGGCTTAGGTTATTGCCTAAGCTATAATGCATGCTTATGCTGGGCTTATATTGCATTTAACCCTTTTATATAATGAAGTATATATTTAAAAGATAGATTTAAAGTTAGGCCCTTTTAGGGCTTAACTTACTTTTTAAATATTGCAATTTATAACTTTTTTTGGGTATCTTTTAGCAAATGCTTAAGGCTAACTTATAATATTTATCTTTTATTAAGGCATAATTAAAATTAAGAATAATATAAGTACTTAAATTATAATTCTAAATTTAATTAATTTTAAATATAATGTAATATTTTTGCTTTTAATTTATTAGCTATTTAGGATAATTTAATGCTTTAAAAATATATATAAGTCCCCTTAAAGTATTTGCTTTTTAAGTATAAATGCCCTTAACTTAAAGAGTTTTCTTAATAATGCATAATAAGTCTTTATTAACTTATATAAATATTGGCTTAATTTAACTATAAAAGTTCTTAATAAATACTTTATATACCTTATTATTTAATATATATGCTATAGCTTAAATTTAGTCCTAAACATAAATATCTAAGTATTGTTTACTGTTAAAAGATTTTAAGGGATTTATTTATACCAAGGGATTAAGTATCTTAATAATACTTTTAAATATAAAAGTACGGTTTATTATAATTAATATTAATGGATTATTTTAATTAATAGTATTGCTTATTATGTTTGCTATCTTATTATTTTAATAAAGTAATAATAGGGGTATATTTAATTTAAGAAAAAAAGTAGTAAGAAGAGAAAATAAGTAGTATTAAGGGAAAATAAAAAAGTTAAGGGTTACTTTTATAATTTAGCCATTAAAAGGCAAATTAATTCCTTTCTTTATGTTTATTTATATAATAAGATATAAGTAAATATATTATTAATGAAAATAAATATTAATTTAGTTCTTTTAATTATGGCTATTAAATTTAAAAGTTGTTATTAAGGTTATTTAAGGTATAATAAATGCATATATATTAAGGGTAGGGGAGTTTGCTATAATTTCTTATTATAATAACTACCTTTTTATATATTAGGTATTATTATTATTATAAACTATATTATGTAAATTTATAATATTAATAATGCTAATTAGTATAACTAAAAGGTTATTTTTTTAAGCCTTGCTAATTTATGGTTGCCCTTGCAATTATTAATTAGTATTAGCTAAGTTATATATTGCAATATAATGTTTAGTTAATATAATAATTAATCGTTATTAATTATAAAAGGAAGAAAGGCAAAAGGCTTAATTATGCTAGCTATTTTATATATAGTGCCAAGGCTGCTGCCTATTAGGCATCCTAATGGATTAAAGCTGCCTAGTCCCAAATAGTCCTCCATATAAACAACACCCATTATTCCCACAAATATAAAAATAATAAGATATCAAACCGTTGCAAGAGGTTGAATCGGTACGTTGAAATATGAACACGTTCATAAAATAAAATATGATAACTTAATGGTGATTGCATGTTGGGTTTGTCCGGTCGAATCTCTACGTTAACACATCACGATGGCTTCTAGCCCCACAATTGGCGAGGTGTGCGGTGGCAAGTTGACCTTCGGTTCGGGATGGGCACCGGTTGGAAGGAGCCGAGGCACGCAGGAGGCCGAGCTGGCAAGGAGAGAGCGTTGCGACTTCCCCATCCCGAGACCGGCTGCCACGGCAGGTAGCTTCGTATCAGACATTAGATTCCCGCTTGCCGGGCTGGTCAGCAGCTTTCCCCGCAATGTGGGAGGCGGAGATCTTCCCGGCTCGGTGGGTCTAATATCTAACTTCCCAAGTCCGCGACACCCGGTACTGCTCCTGTACTTCTCCATCATCCCGATAACATTATTGTAAAACTTTTGTTAGAACAGAACTCAGTCGTCAACATGGCTCCTCACGCAGAGACTGGAAGCAGTGATGCTGGTGACAAGCCATCAACACTGGCACCCCTCGAGCCCGGCATTCCTGAAGTCGAGGCCAAAGTAAAGATGCCCGCTTTCCCAAAGTGAGTCCCTTCCTGAGTGAACACCTGGCCCCCCTCCTCGCCTAGATATGGGATGCTAAGGAATCTTGCACAAGGCCTCCTGCTTTCGATGACAAGTACAAGGAACGTGCGTACTGGAAAGGCCGTCTCGCAGCGGCGTTCCGCATATTTGGGAAGTATGGCTACGATGAAGGCGTTGCCGGTGAGTTTTGTCCTCGAGGACCAAGCGCACCAGTGTGTTCCCTGCACAGCTCAGGAGGCTGACTGATTCTGGAGGCCACATAACGTACCGCGACCCCGTTGAACCTGATACGTTCTGGGTGAACCCATTCGGAACTGCTTTTAGTCTCATCAAAGCCTCCGACCTCATCCGCGTTAGTGAGGAGGGCAAGGTTATTGAGGGTGGTGAGAATCGGCTGCTCAATGCCGCTGCGTTTGCAATTGTACGTGTCCCTTTCATCGATAAAACTGCTCCAGATTCTTGTATGAAACATACGGGTCATCGTCGAGCATATTTACCCGAGACCCTCGACTACCTGGCTCGAAATTTACTAACGCCGAACACTACAGCACTCCGCCATTCACCAGGCCCGCCCCGATGTGAATGCAGCATGTCATTCTCACACCATATATGGGCGAGCCTTCTGCTCTCTCGGCCGCAAGCTGGATACAATCACACAGGACGCCTGCGCCTTTCACAATGACCACGCCGTCTACGAGTCCTTCAACGGAATTGTGCTCGCTGCCGAGGAGGGCCGCAACATTGCGCGCTGTGTTGGAAACAAGAAGGCAGCACTACTCCAGAACCATGGACTCCTGACCGTAGGGAATACCATCGATGAGGCGGTCTTTTGGTTTGTGAGCATGGACAAGTGCTGCCAGGCGCAACTGCTGGCGGAGGCTGCCGCGGGGCCTCGGGGCGAGAAGCCTATCGTCATAGACGATGAGGATGCCGCCTTCACGTACAAGACGGTGGGAACTACATACGCGGGATACTTCAGTGCCAAGCCGCTTTTTGATGTGATTCACAAGGAGACTGGAGGTGACTACCTAGAATGAGGAAAAGTCTTGTAGCTGGGGGCGGGATGATGGAACATAACCATAGCCGTCGATTGGACTTTTGATCGAAGCCGACTGAAGTGTGTTTTCTTGACCCTAATACAGACTGCCCAAAGGTACCTTTCATGTTACGCTGCATCCAACGTTTGTTTCATAGTCGTATTTCTTTTGAACGTCTTAAATCGGGCATGTCTTTATGACCCCTGGCCTCTCCACTGATCTTACGAAAGGCCTAGGTACTATCCAGTGCGGGTCAGAGCCAGGAAGTCTCTCCATTACGTTTCAAGATGAGTTGTGCCCAAGACTCTGATGCATTATGATGTTATCGTGGAACGACAACATGGGCTTGCGAGTAGCCGACTCCATACCGATTCGGCAGGAATAGCCTACACGAAGTCAACGCACAGCATGCCATCTGTTGTGCTAGCCCAGGTGTTGTGCTTCTGTAGGCCTGACGGCAACTCTAAGCTTGACGGCGATGTACCAATAGGGCGAAGAGCCTCAAACCCAGTCGTGTGGCAATTTACGTCGCAATATCTCATTCAGATCTCATCGTGGCCTACCCCGGCGCTAACGAAGAGCTGCTGGTCACGGTGTATCAACTTAATGCTACGCCTTGACACAGCGTCTCTTAGGCGAGGTCCGGCGGGCACCTCGAGGCAACGTGAAACTACGTTCCGGTAGGCAAGGCCGGGCTTGCCCTTCCCAAGGAACCTTTCTGGGCTGTCCAAATTCGGTCTCGCTCGCCTTGAGGGACCATCGCACACCTCATCCCCAAGCCGCTTTGACTACAGGAGGCCTCGGCTTGGCTATCACTCTCCTGGATCCGTTCACATGATCTAGGCCATAATCTCTCAGGACCAGGTCTCTCTACGAGGTTGTCTCAGGGTGTCGGACGGTGTGTGCCAAGGCCATCAGACTCTAGTGCCTGATCTTGTGGCGAGAATGCTTATGCTTTCGTGGGCAGCTGTGTTTATGCCCTGTCGACTTCTCTGTCGACTACGCTTCCAAGTTGGACTGCCACTTGCATGTGAGATGTAGAGAAACGTTACTGGGTGACAACGTGGGCAATTCTCAGCCACATCAATAGAATCTACAGAGGATTAGGGTGTATATTTGACATGTGAAGGACATCTGGACTCAGCCAACAGAATAAATGACGGAGAAAATGAGCCCCAATCATAACACCCGGGCAGCGAAACAATAGGCTTGGATTGCCTGGAAAATTCCCTCCGTCGTTCAAAGGCTGCTTAGAAGACCCTCAAATCTTCGACTACGGCCGGAATCCACGGCTCTGCAAAGCCATGAAAGGCCATGTCATCTATTTTGCTCAAGCCCTTGCTGACGCTAAGCAGCATGTCCCAGTTTTGGCGGTCAATTGAGCACATCAACTGCCACCGGTGATACAACCCAGAATGGCTACACTCAGGTTCGATCGATCGCGTCGACGCCTTTCCCTGTCCTTCTCCTTCCTCTCGAAACCTTGATGCTTTGGACTCCGCCCTGACCTCGCTGGCCGAGGGGCCTCTGTTTCCTTTTCGTCGTGCTTGGACTAGGTTGAAGGTCAGCCCGAGGCAGCGATATGACTGTGGCGAAGGTCGAAAGAGACTCACTTTGAAACACATGATAGCCTGTCTTGGTGTGAGAGTGGGATGATTGCCCGGTATGACTTGGACGTGGATCGATACAAATGAGCCAACGAAACATCAGCTGAGATGTGTAATTAGAGGATTTTAGGCAGCGCCGTGGCCGGGAATACGAACGTCGGAGCATATACGTAAGCAGCGACAAATCCATCAGAAAGCTTCTGATGACGTACCCAACAGTGTGGTCGGTGGGCGCATTGCATCCTGCAGGCCTTTCGTGGCCGACAGGCTGACATGCCCCAGCCACGTGGCTTAGGTCTGAGACCTGTGCTGCAGGAGCAGTCCGAACGAGGTGCGGGTACCCACCCAGGTTTTACTCGGCCTAAAGTTCGACATGATATGACAATTCAAGTTCATTGGCATGGAGAGTCCATCACTTTCATAGTAAGTCCAAACATGCCTGGAATTCGGAAGGCGAGAAGTTTGAGTCCCAAGGTTCGAGGGCCCACCAAGGGAATTGTATTGCTCCAGACGACTTGAAGCTCCTCCCAAATCGCTTGTACGTAACATCATTGTGATACAGCAACGGTGCATGTCTTTGACATTGTGAACCGAATCAACAACCGCCTCCGCCGCCGCCGTCGCCGCCACCCCCTCCGCCTCCTCCGCCTCCACCGCCCCCGTCATTTCCCCCAGAACTCGTCGCGCCGCCGTCGTAATGGTGATGAGTTGTCCCACTATAACCGTGGTGTTGATGATGCCCTCCGTAGCTAAAAATCTCGGCACCAGCTTGCAAGCCATTCGCGGCGACTTCGGCGTTATTATTTACTCGACGCCGGTTGTTGTTTGCACCGGAGTTGGGTGCAGTGCCATAATTATATTTTGGTGGCTGCTTGGCAGGCCGAGCAGCCAACTTCTCTGACTCGGCGTGCCCTGACTACTCTGGATGTAAATTTCTGTACTTTCCGACGAACCTTGTGTACAGAGGGAAACACTTACCTTTCCGAAGCACATATTTGTGACAGGTTTGTTGTATGAGGTGATGCTGTGAGTAGTTTGGAAGTTTAAGGATGATGACGGCCCGGCGTCGAACCTCTTAAATAAAAGTCGAAGGGGCTGTAAAGCGCCGCATGTCTCATGCTTACTTCATACTGTAAAAACAGCTTGGTGAATCAAGCGTCAGCGCTGGAACAAGACGAGGCAGAATCCTTCGATTCACTAGAAGCATGATACAACAGTCGGGGTCTGCCGAATGGTTGGGCAGCCGAACCAAGTCAGTGCTTGGCTCAGCCCCCAAGCCAGATCGAGCATGTGATCAGATGCTGGTAGCACAGCCGTCTTAGGCTTACCCAAGTCCGCGTATCCCCGGCTCAGGGATCGACGACTGTGACGGCTGGAATGCTACTTCAATCGAGCCATTCAACCTGGGCGGTTGAAAGGCGGAACTACAGCTGGAGAGATGTTAAAGTTTCCGGATCGAGGACATCTAAGCCTCCACACAGGGCTGTCCAACCGATAGGCATAGCCGCTTCACGGACAAATGAAGTGTGTCACAGTCATTCTCAACTACCACATGAGTTGGTTTCGTCAAATTTCACCATATGAGCAAACAAGTGTCAGTTTCGCATCTGGTGTGCCTGATGCTTTGTATCACCACGACCAGTGTTTGGGCGCCTTACCTTCCCATAGACCATGCAGACTTTAGAATCGTTTGGAGGCTGCAGGAGGGTGGAGAGTGATGCGTGCAAGATAGAATATCCACCCTGCAAATTTCCCAATTAATTCGCTGTTGCTGCTCAGAACGAGCAGCTGGTAGTTGTGATGGCACTGCTTTATAAGACTGCACTGTATTGTCCAGGCGCTCTGGACAATTCTGACGTTTTGGTCTTTTTCTGTTGCCATGGTGTAGCGGCGTACGGCACTGTCTCAGGACTGTCCTTCATGATGACGTCCATTCAGCCGGACTGAATTCCGTGGGAGTACGTCATTTGAAAGGCGTGTTACGATGGTAGATGCCATTGGACTGTGCCGGTGTTGGCTCATCTTCATATCTTTTGCCGTGGCTAGTACGTATGCTTTCTCTGACTTTCTACCATGCATGTAATTACTGCGTCGTTTATTTGATGTCCTGTACATACGATACAAATCCGCCAATCTTGGTGTCATCCTAAGCGGTCTCACCAAACCGTTTGCTCTCACCGGTAGAAAGTGGCATCACAGTGCTGGACGTTACCACTATTTGAGTATAAGATATTTGAGACACAGCTTTCACTATACAAAAGTTTGGTGCGCTTTTTCCCCAGTAGGGAAACTGAATCCGAGAGGCAATGTCAGCCACAACTGCCGAAGATTGCTTCTTACAAATGCGATTCTGGTCCTGCCGAAGAGAAAGAGCATGCACCTTGAATTTATTGAACAGTGTACAATAGCATCTCCGCACAGCAGCCAGCCCCTTGTGCCCCTGTATCTGGTCCTTTTTTTTTCCGAGCTCAGCTCCGTTGTGGCCGCCCAGTTTCGGGGCCCGGCATCCCGCAAAGCTGCTCCGGCTACACTTTATTCTTGTTAGCTTGGTTTACAACACATTAAGAGTGGGTCATGGCGACTACGTGCCGCGGGTCGGCATGGCGTATAAATCATCCCACGATCCTAAAAGAACGTGGCCTGACAATATCAAGCCGAACAAGAAGCAGATTGAAATCGATCTCTTGAAAGAGAGTAAGTATGCATACGATTCAACGATAGTCTTGGAGTATCGACATGGAAATACCATCCCATGAATGCTGAAAAGTTTTTATCCGTCCCTGAGATCATGTGAGGTCTGTAAATGCTATGTTCCGCCAAAATCTGGGGCTTTGATCAATCGAAAACTGGAGACTCTGTATAATGCCAAGTGCGCGTGTGGGCGATTTTAGGTTTACTGCTTCATGCATGTCACCCAACTTAGATTCCCACCCGCTGCTAATAGATTATAGGTGTTCGTTCCATGACTTGCCGGGTGCCGATCAGATGGAGCAGGAAACACTTTCTCCTCGGAGAACAATGCCCAAACTACTATGTTTAGGTAACGTTACTAACGGAGATTTTCTTCATAGCCTCCTTATCCTAGAGACTAGTCTCCTGTATCCATCCTCAGCATTGACAGTTAAACTGGAGCTTATGTATAATGCCAACCCCAAGAGCGGATCTCAACTTGCAGTAGATCTGGAAGATTATGCCAGGAACGAGGCTTGACTTGATCGATGCCAAGGTAATTCTGAATTCTAATAAGGAGTAATGTCGATGTGCAGTAAAGAGGTCTCACCGACAATGGAGTGCGTTAGGCTGCACATCCTCGCGATCCAATGAATGAGGTAGCTCACCAATCAGCTATAAAGTCTTGCCTGCTGCTGTTCAAGCCTAGCAGTTTAACAGTGAAAGCATCTCTTTGCAATTTTTGAGGTTGATGTGAATTGGTCCTGCTCTCGACATGGTCTCCTTCCGCACCTATGGCATGGCCTTCTTGGCCTCTTTAGCCGAGGTCCTGTTACACAACACTTCTTCCTCGGATATCACGGGTCCTGGCATCCTCTCGCGCAGTTGTGGGTGGAATTCTGGCCGAGGCAACGCTTGTAGTAAATACAACCACAGGCAAGATTGTGTCGGTGTATGACTCTGTGCGGCCATCGTCTGAGTTCCCGCCCGGTACGACTTATACCGACTACTCGCCCAAGCTGCTCCTTCCCGGTCTTTTGGACGCTCACGTGCATATGAACGAGCCGGGACGTACCGAGTGGGAAGGGTTCTGGACTGGCACGAGAGCGGCTGCTTCTGGTGGCGTCACGACGCTGATCGATATGCCCCTGAATTCGCTTCCTCCCACGACGACGGTCGAGAATCTCATGACCAAAGTGAGGGCGGCTGACGGCCAATGCTGGGTCGATGTCGGTTTCCACGGAGGCCTCATCCCCAACAACACGGCGCATCTGAAACATCTGGTTGATGCTGGTGTGCGATCATTCAAGGGTTTCCTTATTGAGAGCGGCGTCGATGAGTTCCCAGCTATCGGCCCAGAGCATATCGAAGTGGCTCTGCTCGCTCTAGCCGACTCGCCAACGACAGTTATGTTCCACGCCGAGATGGTTCCGCCCAATTTCACTCTTGTCGGCTCCGGGGCGCCGCATACCGGACCTCTGACAAGCTACCAGACGTACCTGGACTCCCGGCCTCCAACGCTGGAGGCATACGCCATCAGCCAGATCCTGTCCAAGGCCCACCTCGCGCCCGACCTGGACGTGCACATCGTGCACCTCTCGGCCGCAGACGGCATCCCGATGCTGTGCGAAGCCCGCGACCAGGGCGTCCGCATCACCGCCGAGACGTGCTTCCATTACCTGAGCCTCGCGGCCGAGGAGGTGCCTGAGGGCGACACCCGGTACAAGTCGGCCCCTCCGTCCCGCGGCCAAGCCAACCAGGCCCTGCTGTGGGATGAGCTCTCGAACGTCGACGGCGAGGGTGTCATCAAGACGGTCGTCTCGGACCACTCGCCCTGCACGCCCGATCTGAAGCTGATCCCCGACTCGTTCCCCATCGCCCCACACAGCCACGCTGGCGAGGACGGCGACTTCTTCAAGGCATGGGGCGGTGTCAGCAGTCTTGGCCTGGGTCTGTCTATCCTGTGGACTGAGGCGGCGGACCACGGCGCGAGCATTGAGGACATTGTGCGCTGGACGAGCACCAACACTGCGCGTCAGGTCGGGCTGGAGCAGGAAAAGGGCGACATTGATGTCGGATTTGATGGCGACGTGGTTGTGTTCGACGACGAGGCTGAGTTCGATGTTAACAAGGAGACCATGTTCTTTCGCAATGAGGTTTCTCCGTTTGATGGCAAGACGCTCAAGGGCGTGGTCGAGGAGACGTGGATCCGGGGGCAGAAGATCTTCGATCGCAAGGTGGGATTCGACGAGGAGCAAGGACCGATCGGCAGGACTATTCTTCAGCCACGAAGAAGACAAGCTGTTAGAATGATTTAGAGTCAGATGTAAATGTACATTTACTTCAGTAGAACGTTGCAAATCCGAGTTGAATGCTATCATAATCGCCTCCTTTGCCACCCTCAAACATCACCATACAGAGCTTTTCCCGAATTGGAATCGTCTTTCCCACTTGCTACTTTTACTGGTCTGCCTTTGTCTCCATCATCTGAACTGTTAGCCTGGCTGCCTTTCTCAGTGTCGCCTGGTACCTTCGCAGCCCCAGTAACCTCTAGTGGCCAGATGTCTTCACGGTTGACTTCGGATGGAGACGCCGCGAACTGATGATCCAAAGCAGCCACGTTTTCTGGATGCTCTGCGGTCTGGATAGCTGATCAGCTATCTGCATGGAAGAATCGAGGTGCAACTTACGGCGATGCCTGTGACAGACATCCTATGGGAATAGATCGTCGACCTTGCGGTTTAGAGATTTAGGTGATTCTCGCCTCTTGCCTTCTGATCCGCTAGTTTTCTCGATTCTGGGATTCCTTGAAGATTGAAATTGGCATGAGAGAATCGTGTATTCGCGCATCAGCCTTTTTGATTCATGTTTGTGAACAACCAATGCTTAAAGTATCGTATGCTGACCGAGTGAGCTAGGAAAACCGCAATGCGACGAGGTACATGCGTGACGTATGTCGGCTTATCACCTGCATCTGCGATATGACGCTGTCTGTCCTAAACGAAACGCAGCCCCCCCCTGTCTCTTTAGTCAGCTATCCCCCCCCGCACCAAAAGTTTGCTATAAATGCGGAATACGCACCAAGATTACTAAGAATAACCTCCTTGCCATCACCACGCACTTAATTTGGCAAAAAAAAGGCCGTAATAATGTGGCTAACCTTTATATAATTATAAATATTATAATTCTATTTATGCTTAAACTTATTGCTATTAAATAAATAACTATAAGCTAAGTTTAATTATAATAAATTAATAATTTAGCAATATTAAAAGAAAATTAAAATAATAAATATTATAGCGTTAAGCATACCCTTATTATTATTATTAAATACCATTAAATTAAAGTAATAAGCTTTAAAGGTATATAATATTCTTTAATATAACAAGCCTTTTAAGCATTATTAATGCTTAATTATCGCTATATAAAAACTTAAAGATTTTTTTCTTAATAAGTTAAATATATACCTTAATAAAATATAATACTTTTTTATTAAAAAGTGCTAAATTAATTACTTAATAAAGATTATTTTAAGGGCCCTTAAGGAATATAATTAAATTAATAAGTAAGTATATATATTAGCTTAATAGCATAATAAGGATCTTTAAAGCTATTACTTTTTTAAAATTTTAAAGCCATAATATATTATTAAAATATTTATCTTTTATAATAAATTAAAACTTAATAAGTATAATAATATAAAAAAAATAAGCTAAGCATTATTAAGATATACTCCTTAAGTTAAAAGTTTTCTTAAGTAAGGTAATTATTTTTATATATTATTAATAATTATAATTAGCAATCTTCTTAATATTAAGATATATAAGGGGTATATAATAAAGGAGTTCTTTTTAATATAGCTTTTTAAAAGGGTTCTTCCTTAAATAAATACTTATTTAAGCCCTTAATTAATCCTTATAATAAATAATGCTTTATAATATTATAATTAAGCTATTTATAAGGTTATTTAAGCAAGGGGCATTAAGCTAATATATTTATTATTATATTCCCTTAATTTTAATTTAATTAAAGCATATTTTGAAGATTTAAAAAAATATATTTATTATTAATATTAATATAAGATAAATAACTATAATAATAATAATAAATTTATAAAGTTTTTATGCTTAAGCATTAAAGAAATTAGCTAGCATATAAAGGCAATTAAGGGATATTTTTATTATACGTATATATTAAAAAAAAGGTTTAAAGGTAATAATTATAATAAAAATTAATAAAAATGCTATATAATTAAAATAAAGATAAAAGAAGTAATATTAATAAAAAGAAAAGAGTATAGCAATAAAGTTATTTATAATAAGTTTTTTAATAATAAGTAAGTTAATAAAAAAGAGCGTTATTTAAATAATTAAGAAAAATAAATAATAATTTATTATAAAAAATATACTTAATTTTCTTAATTAACTTTTTAATTACTTAAATAAAGCCTCTTTTTTTATATATAATTACTTTAATTATCTTTTTATTAACTATACTATCCTTTTTTTATAAATAATAATAATTAAGCTCTTAAAACTTATTAAAAAATGCCTTAAACTTATTTTTTATTATTAATATATTATTAGCTAACGCTAAAAGGCTTTTCACTTGCTTAAAATTATAATTATTATTCTACGCCGATATTAATAGCAATAGCAGCTTCTCCTCCTTATTATCGCTTTTAAAAAACTTAAAGAAATCCTTCCTTTCTTTTAAGTATAGCTTTATAAGCCTTTTAATCAATTTAATACTATTTAAGCCCTTTTTATTAAACTAAATATCTTCCTTTAAATATAAGGCTTAGAAATTAATGCCCTTACGCTTTATTACCTTTTACAACTTTATTAATTACCTTTTTTTCATTAATATATAAAAATACTTTTATAAAGCCTTAAATATAAAGTCTTTATTAAGGGCTTTTTAATTACTAAGCACTTATAATAATAATAATAAAAGCATAAGTAATTAATAATAATATATAAGGCTGCTTAAATAAAAAGCTTTTATTATTAATAATGCTAATAATCCTTTAAAGCTTATTAATAAGTATATTAATAAAGGTATTAATAGCGGCGGCAACGGCATTATTAAATACTTATATATAAAGCTAGAGGCGTAAAGATTAATTAATAAGTTAATCATTATATTAATGCTACTCTCCCTTTACTTATTATCTTTCTTAAGCTTTTTTTACTTATATATAAGGTTAATACCATTTTTACTAAGTTCTTTATTACTTTTATTAGCTTTAGTAATATTTATTTACTTAATAAAAAGCTTTTTTAAAGGCGCTTAAATAATAGCCTTATTATTAATTATTATTTATGCTTATATTATTAAATTAATATTAATAATATTTATATATATGCTGTTTTTTTTAATATAATATTATTATTAAAAAAAGTTTCCCTTATTATAATAATAATAATTAATTTTATAATAAATACCCTTAAAGCATTACTATATTTATATTAGCTTTTTATAAGCCTTAAAGCTAAATAATTAATTATTATTTCTTGCCGTTATTATATAAATAATAATTAATCTTTTTTAAGAGCCTTTAAGTAATAATAACCCTTTTATTAAAGGAATACTTATTAAGCATTTAGCTATTAGCAAACTATTTATTAAGCTAAATATTAACCTTGTTAATAAGGGAGGCTTAAAACCCTTAATACTTAGTTATTACCTTAGCATTATAATGCTTTAAAGCATTATTTATATTATTAAGAGTATTACCTTATAGGTATATATAATTATAAAGTAATAAAAATCTTTGCTTAAAGAAAGCATTTTTATAATTTAATTATTAAGGAGTTTTTTCTTTAAATGCCTTTTAATTTTCATTGCCATACTTAACTAAATTAAGAATATTCTTATTTATAATTAATAACTTACCTTAAATAAAATTTATAATAGCTTAATTATTATATTTTTTATATTAATAAGCTTAATTTTAACTTAATTCTTTATTTTTAAGAAAAAAATATTTAGTAAAAAATTAATATTAAAAGCTTTATACTTATTATTATTAAACTTAAAGCTATATTACTTTATTAATAATATAAAAGTAGGCTATATGTTAATAACTTTTATATATAATATAAGAAATGGTTTTTTAACTTTTTAATATTATTATCTTTAATATTATTAATTAATAATAATAATTTAAATATACTTAATATTTCTTAGCTAGCATTATTGCTTTTAGTTTTATTTAAGTTAATTAAAGCATTATTTTTATTAAAAATAGTTTTAAGGATAACCTTCTTAATATTCTTAGTAATATGTTAAGTAATATATTAAATAGCTATTTATTTATTTTAAAAAGTTTTTAATTAAGTTATTAGCTTTTTTTTTATAATAATAATAGCCTTTATCTTTATTATTAGCTTTTTTATATATAATAATGCTATTAATTAATTAATATAGTGCTTATTAGTAAAGTAAATAATTTAATATTATAAATAAATATATAATTATAATAATTAAGCTTTTACTTTTTAAGGATTATTAAAATAAATTTATTGCTAATTTAAGTATGCTATAATTATCTTAAGCTAAGGTTAATAAAGCATATGCTTCTTTATATAATAAGCTTAAATTAATTACGCTACTTTTAATTATTTTAAAGATATATGTAAAATAAGGTTTTAATAACCTTTCTTTTATTAAATTAGGTATATAATAATGGTGAGAAGGTTATTCTTAAGAATATTAATGCATATTCTATGTTTATAGCAAACTTTTGGTGCGGGGGGGGATAGTTGACCAAAGAGACAGGGGGGGGGGCTGCGTTTCGTTTGGGACAGACAGCGGCACTGCGTCTCAAGATCGACCACTGTGAACATTGATGACCAGTCAGTTGCATGTGCCTAATTTGGATACTGTCTTACTGATCCGGCACATGCCGGCTCTTTGCAGATCGCCAAGCATGCCCGCATACAACACAACGTCCCATGTTTGGTGTTCGCCTTTGTTGTCAGACATGACGAGCGCTTCTTGAAACCTGAGAGGTTCTTTGTTTGTGAAATTATCCAACGGCTTCGTGAGACCAACGCTTGTGCAATGACATAGAGTCACTTATCCTAGAGATGCTCGAGGAGGCAGCTTCATATCTTGTCACACAGCACTGGCACGAACGAGTTGTTGTGATCTTGTTTAAAGTAGAATCCGGTTCACCATCAAGTTTCATCCACTTTCTGGCACTCCCAGCTTTCAGGATCTTTCGAATCACCACCCAGATAAGTGTTTCTCAATGGCCATCTGCAGTGCCTCCGCTGAAAGTCCACTCCTAATACAGCGGAATCATTCACGAACTTGGTGCCCGTCATGGTTTCTGGTGCAATCCCCTGCTCCACCCAGTCTACAAGCGCAGCCAAGACGTTGCTTTCCCTGTCGTACGATCCTTGCGCCGCAGAACCACCTTGCTGGCCTACGACCCAGGCCCCTGGGCCACTGTTGCAATGGAACATCCCGGAGATCCTGAAGAAGCGGATGAACTCATCCATCTGCTCCGGTGTGTAGCTCATGCCCTCAGCTAGGTGGTTGTAGAAGCGTGGGCTATTGAGACTCGTGATCTGGTTGTCCTGCAATCCATGAAACATGACAACCTTACCGCCCCGGTCTTGAAACTCGGACAGGCTGCTTGGCCACGTGCGAATGTTCCCCGGGTTGACGTTTTCAGCAAACTCAGCGTCCGCCAGTGTGTAGGCGGCAGGATCCCAATCCGGATCGTTATACACCGCATAGCGAAACCAGCTCTGAGATAATGCCCATGGTTGGCCGTTATATAGACCATCTGCAGACATTATCTCACCGCCGGGATTCATTCGTGGGTACAACAGTGTGCCATTCTCCCATGAATATGGCTCAAATACCTTGCGAACAATATCAACCTGTGAGGGAGACAGACAGGCGGAACTGTTGGACGACTCGCTACAGAGCAAAGGTGCAGGGTCGAAATGGCATAGCGTTGGGTCCTCGATTATTCCGTCCGAAACACCGTCGAGTGTGTCGCACTGGCGGAGCACTTCTTCGTGAATCGTCGTTTTCCAAAAGGCTGGAGTGATGAAATTGGGCGAGCCAACGGGCCCTGTTATCGGGTAGAAACGTGCTCTCCACGAGTAGAGATTATCAAAGTCCACAGCGGGTGACCCTGCAACCACGCCATCAAAGTCGTCGGGGAACATCTCAGCTGCTTTGATAGCTTGGCGACCGCCCAAGGAGCAGCCGAGAAAGTACGACTTGTTTGCAGTCTCCCCATAGAATGGCTGCATGAGGGTTTTGCCGGCTTCCACTCCGGTATGTACGCTTGGCAAGACATCAGTTACGTGTCGCATAACGCGTGGACAAAGGGGCACTCACGCTCTCCACGCGAAGTCAACCACGACCTCGGTGTTGTTCAGGAATTGAATACCAGACGTGCCATTATGCCCATTGTTCGTACCTACGCTTGCGAAGCCATTCTTGGCCGTGTACGCGATGCCGCTGTAGTCAATGCCTGTAAGTGTCACAAAGTCAGCCACGCCTGCTCACTTGACCAGCGAACAGGGCAGACCCACAACCGCCCAGCCCCCCATTTCCGGTTGTGACAAGACGTCCGTTCCAGCTCTCCGGCAGCCAAATCTCCGCCACAACGCCAGACCTTTCTGATGTTGCTATTTGGAGAGCCACGCGGCAGAGATCGACCGGCACGACCTGACTCTTTCCGCTGCAGGACGGGTCGTTGTCTGGGAGGCTGAGATTGGTTCCGGAGTTGATGAAGGCATGTTCCGTGACTGTCGCATTTGTAATGCCGACACTCGTAGGATCAAATGATTTGCATTGTTCCTGGAAGGTGGCCGGCGCCGGAGCGCAACCTGCGCCCAAGCTAAAAGTTGCCAGAACAAGCAGCGCGAAGAGGGCCATGACGGGGGCAACTGCGGTCTCCAAGCAATGGCACCCCAGGGGGGGTTGTCTCCCAAGGGGGACATGAGCCCTTTGATATAGTCCCCACCCCATTCGCGCCCGTCCATCTAGCCAGGGTCAACGATGACATGGTCTATTTCGTTGACAACCCTTTGTGAGAAATTCCCCAACGGCCCCCCTTTCGGGATTGACGGCCCCCCCTGGTAAGATTGGTGGCAGGGATGGGGGGAGGTGCTAAGGTTTAACTAGCAGGGCCTTGAAATGTTGCAGATCCGATAGGCCGGCGACGAAAGGCATTGATACCGACGAACTTGAAGTTTGGAGTAGCTGACTATTAGGAAGAAAATAGAAGCATCCTAGTGGTGGGATCAAGCAACTCGTGGCCATGGGGTTAGACGGGACTAAAGAGACAAAGCGGAGAACATACATAGACTATAGAAACCCCAAGGTGCCGGATGCCGAGATATCAAGCCACGATTTGTATACACTGGTGGCTGGCCTGGTTATCAACGACATAGGAGGGTAGACAAGGGTGGCGTCTGGGAACATTCTACGCCAAATCGCTGGTTAGATTTTCGCCCGAGCTGCCAGGGGGAGAGGGGATACAGTAAATTATTTAGGCTCGTTAGGGACAGAGGCAATGGCGCAAAGGCTGATCTTGATTGCTTCGTCGGAGCTTCCCCGTTCTCAAACGTGTGCTTGTGATCGATACCATGGCGCGCCTGTTCTGTATGTACCCTCAAAATGAGGTAAATGCAAGCCCTGACCTTGGTAGAACCACGTCTAGTTGAATATGACCTCTAGGACTTCGTGTCTTTCACGAATTGTACCGCATTTGGGGTTGCACAAGGCGAGCAAGCTACGTGTGAATTATCCTCGGACTGGATGGAACACAACAAGATCAAGAAGAATCTATCTATGTATTTTTTTTTCTAGAGCGGAAAGGGAGGCACGAACTCTTCTATCTTAAGCCTTGAAAGCATTATCGGCCATGTTACGGTACACGTTCGCCGGGTCCGCCAGCTCCTCCTCCACAGTCGGAAGCTTCTTGACAACGCGCGCGGGAATCCCAACCGCCACCGAGTAAGTGGGCACGTCTCGACTGACGATAGCTCCGGCGCCGATGGTGCTGCCCCTTCCGATGGTCACCCCCGGGAGGATGACCGCGTTGGCGCCGATCCAGCAGTCGTCCTCGATGCGGATCGGTTTCCCCCATTCCACGAACTTTATCCTCGAGAGCACGCTTGTCTCGTGGCCCGCGGTGATTATGCTGACGCCGGTGCCGATCTGGACACGGTCGCCGATGATTACCAGGCTGGTGTCGAGTATGGTGAGTCTTGAGAAGGCGGCATGTCAGTGGACCTTTTCGCCCAAACTGGGTACTCTTGCGGGCGGATGAAGTGTATCACGCGCTTCCGGGGAGCACATCACAGACACAGGGAGGACTCACCCCCAGTTTATGAAGCAATCATTCCCCATCACAATATTACATCCGTAATCCGGGCGGAAGGGTGGCTCAATGACACAGCCAGTCCCTACTCGGCCGAGAAGATCCGAGAGCAGCTTCGAGCGCAGGCTGGCCGCCTCCTGCTGTCTGAACTGGTTCGGGTCGACGTTGTTGTACTTGTATGCCTTGCAACGGGCCTGATGCCTAGCCTCGAGGAGCCGTGGGACGTTGGGGTTGTATAGCATTCCTGACACCATGTCCTGGAAGTCATCGCACCATGGCGCGTCGTGGAGAGTCTTGGCTATGGCCAGGATTTCTGGATCCCGTTCTGTCCTTGCTTGCGCCATGATGTAGATGCGACTGTGTCAGGAGCTCCGGTTCGTGTTACGCACGCGAGAGAACAAAAGAAAACAATAATGTCAAAGGGAGTCAATCCTGAGCGACTTGGCAGCTCTTGGAAGGTGTGACGTGGTGCTGATCAAGTAAAGTCAATACACAGTATCTACAAGCGAGCCAAACCGGCCAGTGTTGCATCCGATGGGCAGGTGGGGTGGGTGGGTACATAGCTCATGACAAGACGCATGCTTGGTAGCCGCACTATGCCCGAAACAGCAAAAGGTCCAACTGCCTCTTTAGGAGATTTGCGTGCTGAGACTGGCGGGAACAGGTGCGAAAATTACAGCAGGTACTGATGGGAGTCTGGATGAATATCCCTAATTCGGATGCCTGTAGACCCACTTCTGGGCATCTTTGAAGTGTCAGCAAAGTTACCGACGCTGTTCTGATGGCCATGACCATTACTTGATGTGCGCTATGAGACACCCCGGGGCAAAGTAGTGGATAAATATTCCACATCAAGTAGTGTCCAGCTCGACAGAATATGTAATAATTTCTGTATACGGACACATCATTTGCGTTACTGACGAGACCTCCAGTAGTTCCTGTGCATGGACGGAACAAAAATGGTGCCCATGCCCTGAAAAACAACTGCTACACGGGGGGAGGGGCGTGAACCCGCGGGAAGGGTGGCGTGGCTTTTGACAAATCGCAGGGAGCATGGTCCACACTTCGAACTTCAAACGAAAAGTACTTGCCTGTGTAGAGCCATTAGAATCCGTACTTTAGAGACTGGCCGAGTCAGATCCAATTTTCGAACAAATTTCGCATGGCTGCAAGGACTGGTTTTAGCAGCGGTTGCTTGTATGATATTGGGATGCAGAAGAGGAAAGTGAAGCCGCGCTGCAAATAACTGCGTTTATAAGTGACTAAGTCTACAAAGCGCACTCAAGCCCGACTCTAACCAACACACTGACTATTTGGAAACGGTAACTAAACCAAACTTACTTTTTTAAGTCTATAAATCTATCAATTCAAGCTTGAAAAAGTATGCGCTGATCACCTAATTAGTCACAGGCCGCGGCTGGCTACTTCTTCCATGGCGGCACGACGCATCTCATCAGAAGCCCATTTCTGCTTCTCACGCGTAAACATGAGTTTTCCAGCAAAATGTATTATTCAAGACTACTTCTTCGGCCTCGCACTATTAGCAAGGCCAGGGGCTCCCGAAGTTACCTATGGAGCTCATTCCATATTGAAGCAATCATCCTCAAGAATATCTGGAGCCATTGATCGCAGCTGACCAAGACCGAGTCAACGTGAAGCTTTAAATTAGGCAAATCAGTCATAGGAAAAGATATGTAACTAGACTGGGTTACTCTTGTGACAAAGAGAAACCCATGTAGTGAGCAACTACAACAATATCAAGAGCATCACTCAGTATCACGAACTTCGGCATAAAATGATGGCTCAACCTTATCAGTGGGTAATGACGTTCAAAGGTAGGCCCGCCTGGCCACTTATCTTTGCATGGAAGATGATAAGAGAGGATCACTTGTCGTGTAAAATGTATATTCATGAAATCAATTAAACCTAAAACATCACTTTCCACCTAGGATAGCCTCAGAAGCCTTCTCACTAAGAATAAACGTCGCAATGACCGGGAAAGCACCAGGGATCCTAGGGAAAGCACTAGCATCAACCACGCGGAGGCTGTCAACGCCTCGAACTTGGAAGTTCGAGTTCAGTACCGCAAGTTTGTGATCGTCAGGGCCGATCGGGCAGGTGCTTGTAACATGGTGCCCGAAAGTGTTATCCCGGATAAACTGCTCATCAGCCTGTGCGTCCGAGCAGGTTCCATCGGCGACATATCCAGTCGGGCATGGCGGGCTGGTAATATTGACGGGTCCGGTGGGCTCAGCAACGCGCTGCAGGACCCGGCGGCCCCATGCGACAAAATCTTTGATGCCTCCGATGTCCGTCTCAGCTCCCGTGGTGAAGTACCTGAAGTTGATCTCCGGCATCTCTGTCGGGTCTGACGAGCGGAGCTTGACGTAGCCGGCGCGGTTCTGCGGGTGCATGCGGACAGAGTGTATCCCCCAGGTGTTAGGCGGCTCGGTCCAGGTCTGGCCTGGTGTAGCTGGCCAGAATCCGCGGAAGGCAAATGATCCAGAGAATGCAATCTCATCGCGCTCCCCATCGGGTGAGTGTGGCGTCTTCAACACAGCAATGTTCGAGTTTGGACCGGCGTTCGTGTATGGGCCCTTCCCTTGGAGCCAGGCGTCGTAGCAAGGGTCCGGGAAAACCGCGCCGAAAGTACAGTTTGCACTGGTCAGGCCATCCCTAGGTGCGTAGGTGAAGTTCTCAGCAGCAAGCCCCGTGACTGCCATCTCCAGGTTGTCTTGCATGTTGGTACCAACGCCCGGAAGGTCCGCGACAACTGAGATGTTGTGCTCGGCGAGATGCGTCGCGTTTCCAATACCGCTCAGAAGCAGGAGCTGTGGCGTGTTGAACGAGCCAGCTGACAATGACCTCTTTTCGCGCGTAGACACTCTTGGGCGTGCCTTGGTTGGAAGCTGTCCATCTCGGGTCACCCTTATACACACTCTTCCCTTCAAGGAACTCGACACCAACAGCCTTAGGAGTGCCGGTGCTGTTCGACTTGTCAAAGAGGATGCGAGTAGCGTACGAATTCAGCTGAAGATGGAGAGGGAAGTTCTCGTTGACGGTCGCAACAATCCTGTCCCTGGCACTGGAACGACCGAATGTCTTGTTGGCGTGGAAAGGCAGAGCCCATAGGCCTTCAGTCGTGTCTCGGCTCGGATCCTCGTAGTTGGCGTCGGCCGTCACAAGTTCTTGCAGCTGAGCAGGATCTTTTCCAAGCTCCGAAATCGTGGCATTGAGAACAGCCACGGCCTGCTCGCCACTGGTGTACTGCGTTCCATCGCCGATAGCAGTCTGGAGATATCCATCAAACCCATGACCTTTCGTCCCCCGAGGCAGGTATGTGTTGTTCTCCAGCTTGACGAACAACTCACGCGTGTGTGTCGCGCTATAACCAGTAGTATTAGCTCTGTAGCATCTCTGGACAACAATCGGGGGTTTCTTACTTCCAAGTAGTATCGTTGGTGATCTCCGCGATGTAATTCCAATCACTGTCACTTGGAAGGAAGACCGCACCGGCGTTGATGATAGACGAGCCTCCAAGAACAGCTCCACGGGGATAGTTGACCCCCAAGACCACAGAACCGTTGGGCTCGCTGCCTCCGGGTCCTACCCAGAGGTCACCGTTTGGCTTCTTCCACACAAGATGCTCATATCTCAGGTCTTGCTGCAGGTCGTCGTAGTGCTTGACATCTGCCACCTGTTAGTCACCTGCTACGGATCCTGAAGCGATATATTCTGGATCATTCCAAAACATGACAGACGGGGATGCGTGAAAGGACAAGAGAATGGGGCTTACAAAAGTCCCAGTGAAGGTTATCGTGGATTCCAGTCGAAACAAAGTAATTGATGACATGACTTGAGGGATCGGCGAACTCATCATCGCCAGCCTCGATCAGCAATGTCTCAAAACCGGCGCGGGCGAGATTGCTCGCTAACGGACCGCCTCCTGGACCGCTGCCGATGACGATGTAATCGAACTCGGTTGTGTTAGTCTGGCGATACTGGAGTGCGTGGCCGCCGGTAACAAGCAAGGGTGCCAGCGCAAGAAGACGGCATACTGCCGGACAAAGTGAAGACACCGTGCGCATCTTGGGCCAATGCGTGCTGTGCAATTGTCACAGAATCGGGCGTGCCATGCTACGGGAAAGACTAAGCAAATTGCATTGGGTCCGTCATCATTTATCTACGAGGAAGAGACATCGGAGTCCGCCATTCAGCCAGGATTCATGTAAGCCCGATAATTGAAGGCTAGTTCTGTACGAGTAGGTAGTATGTCAGCCGAGCGAATACGTGCCTTGTTATTGACCAGGGACGAGGTCGAGACTATGTAACCTAAACAGGAGTAGGCTTCTGTATCCGGCGACGACTCCAAGATGGTGGGAGGGGCGACGATAGCTGACTGCTCCGGACTGCAATTTGGATTTGGGGAAAGATGCGTAGGCGACATCTGCCGCTGGCACTAATTCCCCAATGTCCGTTAATGTGCGACAGGCCTACACAGTAGTGTGTATTATAAATAGATTGCAAAGAAAACTAAGAGCGGAAGCAATGCGAGACCGTTATGTTTAGTCACCAATTGGGTAAACCTACCGCGTCTAATGCGAAGCTCAGGAGTCCGTCGGGGATGAAAGTCCCCGTGGTGTGGCACAGCCTGTTCTTAACATCATAAGCAGGGCTGCGACGCGCTGTGCCGGCGGCCCTCGGCTATGACGAAATATGACCGCGTATCCATTCGTAGTGTCTGCTCGCGAGGCTCAGTGTCGCATTCAGTTGTTGGTTGAAAGCCAGGAGAAGCTCTATTCCGAAGCACTATGACCAATAGTAGGACTCTACATTCTATACTGAACGGTTCTTGTAACTCAAATGTGATATTTGCAGAATTGCCCAACTTATGGACGCGCAGCAGGGAGCGCCCCTCACAGAGCTCGGGTTCCTCCCAGTTTCGCTAAATCAATCACTCGCGACGTGCAAGATGTCTGAATAGCTCGACAGACTCGCGCTCAGAGGAGTTGAGACAAGGAGGAAGCCGTATCAAGCAAGGCCGACCGCCGGAGTTGGGCATATAGGTGGGCAGAAATAGGTCTGGGACCAAATCAGCGTGGTAAGAGACCAAGTGCCCTGTAAATTTGCTATGAAATCGGCAGGCCACTGTGTTAATCCGCATTTTCCTAAAGGACTTTTTTCGTTGCTAGATCCTACCCACAGCGCTGGGCCAGCAATGTGCCAGGCACGGGTTGTTTGGGGCCATTCGAAGATTCTTGAAACATTTGGTCTCTTTCTTCAGAGGGCTCCGCTGCCCAAGGTCAGTTCAATGATTCCATCGGCACGTACGCCACAATGTCAAGAACGCAGGTCGAGAATGATTTATAAGTCTGGGAGAATAACCTCGAAGCGATCGAAATTGGCTATCTTGGTGTGCCAGAACTCTCATCACAGCTCATAGATGAGCAATGATGCTTCCCAATACGTGTTTTCTGCCCGAGCACCTCATCGTATTGGGTCTCTCGGGATGTACCGCGTAGTGGCCTAGCCGTGGACGACGCACGGCGACGGAGAAAACCCATGGGGCCCTGGAGTCCATCGCTCCATCCTTTCGTCTCATCGGAACATTCTGACGTGGCCCAGCAGAACACGGCTGGCTGGCCATCTAACAAGGTTTGAGCAGGAACGGCGAGGGTGATGAAAGGAGACGGAGTGTTGGAAGCCGGGTAGTTGTGGGCCACTGTGGGCCACGTCGATCGACAGAGGAAGCTCGCCCCGCCGAAGGTAACAGCAACAACGGGGAGCTCGGAACAGGATATGCTCATGGCCCATCCACTATCCGCGCCGACTGTGGAGACAGCTGCTGATCGAGTGAGTGGCCGACTTCCGGCCGAGGAGGACGCAGGAGACAGCCCGTTCTCGTCCTGGTGGCTTATCTCCTGCCTGCCTGCTCATCGGACGGAACTGGGCACTCGAAGCATCAATCGCTCCAGGAGTCGAGCGAGCTGTCAACTTGTGGAATTGACGGGTAAATGGCACTGACTCGTCGCATTTTGATTAATCAAATCCGAATATAGACACTCTGTTATCCCTGAGCGGATGCAAGTGACCGAAAGGAAGGTGTTTATGAGCTTCGTTACTTCCAACCATAGAAGCTTGTTTTTTGTTCTTCAGCATCCAGCCTTATTAGCTCCTGCAATTACAGTCTTTCTCTGAAGAGCATCTCTAGCCTCTCAACTTCATCCACATAAATATCAAATTGAAGGTTTTCACCGCCATTGTCAACTTGGCCCTTGCCTCCAGTGCCATTGCTGTTGCTGTCGACAGCCGTGCGACTCTCACAGGCTTTGCTGAGCGCGCTGGCGGCACTACTGCAGTAAGTTCACAACAGCTGCAGTTTCATCAATACGATTAATACGGAAGCCGCAAGCGAGACAGAGTTGCTGACCATATACTCTTTTCAACAATAGCTCCTTGCACTAGCGGTGACGACTGCTGCACCTACTGCGACCCTTACTCCGGATGGACTTGCACCGACCAGACCAGCGCGTGTGTTGAGACCGGCAGTAAGTTTGAAATTGTTTCATGATCTACATTCAGTTGGTTTGCTAGCAGTACTCTATGCTAATATAATTTCTTCGCAGCTGTCCCGACTTGGGCCAGAACGACTGCTGTAGCAAGGCTGTTGACTCGGCTGGCAAGTGCACTCAAAACACTTGCAAAGGTCATTCAATTTGTACATATTTAGGGCTAGGACAGATTTTAATTTGAGATTTCCTAAGCCTTTGAAAGCAGCAATCGACTCTGTGGTGCCTTTCCCTTAGCCTATGTCATTACAATTATCAGTTTAGGGTGACATGATCCTCTCGCCCGCAGGCATATGATGTGCTCAGCCAAAGTGTCTAAAATGAAAGCAATCCTTGCCACTGGATCTGAATCGGACTCTAGGGTAAGCCGCCGAGCTAGGGGCTTAAGAAGAAATTTCTTGGACCTGGTCATTCCGTCGTGGAGAAGAAGGCATTGCGTAAGCAAATACCAGTGGTTGCTAGGTTTCAAGGGGAGGGCTAGTTCCTTCGATACTAAGCAATGTATATGCTAAAAGGATATTCATGAACGCCAGTAATCATTACACAAAACGTGATATGCTCCATGTTGGCCGTCAACAACTCTGGTCGTCTACAGCACGTTAATTAGTGCATTTGAGTGCAGATATCGATTTGGAACTTAGCCACGGTACTGTAAAGTCGTGTACCAGCATTATAAATCAGAAACGAATCGCAAATTAGTCAAGAAAACATCTATACCGAGCAAAGAAAGCAGAGCATACATGCACTGCCCTGAAAGTTGATACTTAGGTAATGCACCCTTGGAAATTAGCGTGCGCTTGGCCGGCCAGCCTTGTGACACTCAAGAAGCCACTTCATTGCACGATATTTATGATGTTGACATCTTCAAAGGCGTACGCATCGCTGCTGTCTGCGGGCGCAGTCGTCCTTGGAAATGCTGACCGCATCAGAGGAATGGCGCGTCCAGACCCAGCCAAGAGAATCCCACGCGCACTTTGAACCAGGTTGCGGCTCCTGGGCTATTATAGACTCACATCAGCGGCCCAGGGCACTCGCCCCATTGGTGGATGCAACCGAGCGGTCCACACTGGGGGCCGCAGCCCTCTGCGGTCAGCATCGATCCCAGGATGGGACGAAAACTATCGCCTTGGCAAGCATGGCCACGATGGAGGATTTCACGTGCCTGGATATGTGGAAAGTAGAATGCAGTCAAATATCAGCTGATGTCTGTCCGTAGGCGCCGGCCCCTTCATTCATCCTCAAATCGCATTCTTGATATTGTCTGGCGCTTGTGTTTACACTCGCCAATATCGTCGTTCGTTTCCAAGAGCCACGGTTTTAAAGGCCTGCTGTCACAAGATGGCGTTGTCACGGTGGCCTACGAGGCTATCTGCCCTCGTTATATATCTGGCAGCAACACAGACGGCTTATGCTGCATTTATAAATTCATCCTCCACAGTAACGTCGAGGGCATCTTTGCCCACTGGAGAGTCTGGAGATCATGACAAACCCTGCCAGTTCGCGGCCGGATCTGTGATGATCTGGGACTGGAGTGCGGCGCACACGGCGGCCACCGTCACCCACACGATTGTTCCGCACATTACAGCATACCCTGATGGAAGCTCTGTCACGAACAACGAGACAGTCCTTGCAACAGCTACACTACCTAATAATGTCACCGCGAGCAGCACGATCGTAGTCAGCGGCTTCACCATGTACGATCAATACCTGATGCGCTGGTCCTGTTGATGAAGAAACATGCCCGATCCTATGCTAATATCAATCGGTTTTATAGGACTTACCCGTCGATATGGGCCCAGTACTCCAGCTTCTACTCTGGCGACTGCGCAGTGAGCACAAGCACAGACGTCATCCCGGAATTCACACAAACATTAACCCAGATCGGCGACGAACCATCCTGGACCAGCACCGAAGTATACCCTGAACGAACACAGTTATACACCATCCAGACCGGAAAGCATGTCACGATGCCAGCTACTGCTGACCCCGCACGGTTCTTCTACCGTGCCGAGGGCTGGAACTACGACGGCAACAGCCCTGCGACGGTCACGCCGCCGATGCTGGAGTACCTAGCAGGCCTGCAGACAGTGTGGGAACAGATGAGCGGACAGGACGTGAGGACGTGTATCTTCCCGACGTGTGCGCCGACGGCCGTCGGGCACAAGATGGTCTCGGCTACTGTGCTGGTGGAGTCAACCCAAGTCGCATCGGCCGTATACTACAATGCTCCCACCACCAGCGACGGAATTCCAGCACTGCCGAGTAGCACGCCGGAGACGACCTCGCCTACCACGCCGCCCCCACCGCCGCCGGTTTCGACACCCGAGAATACGCCGCCTACAGGGCAGCAGCCACCCTCGCAGGTGCCTGACACCCCCGAGGCGCCGGCTCCGACTCAGAGCTCGGTAGAGGTTGTGATTATCTCCACAGGTGGTTCTGACGAGGCAATCGCAACCATCACAACTGCAGTGGCAGGTGGGAATCAGGCAGTACCGGAGACGACATTTGTCCGTACGACGACTATCGACGGACAAGCGCAGGAACAGACTGTGGTCTCTCCAGTGCCAGTCGCCACTCCTCCGGGAGAAGTGACCTTGATACGGGAGGTCACCTCAAACGGGCAGGCACTTACAGAGACCATCGTCTCCGTGTCTGCAGCTCAGACCTCAAAGGCGTCAGAAGAGACCATTGTGACCACAATCACGGGATCCGACGGCGCCCTGGCAACCCAAAGCATCATCTCCATCCGCCCTGGCGTTGGTCCTCAACCGTCCGAGGCGACACTCGTCAGGACGGCAACACTAGACGGCACTCCGGTGGCCCAAACCATCGTCTCCATCTCCGCCGCAAACCAAGGCGGCAACGACTCAGGAGACAGGATCACAGGCGCGCCGGGTACCCCGGCCCAAGAGACAGTCACCAGGACGATCGTCTCCGACGGGCAGACATATGTGCAGACCCTTATCTCGCCGGTGGAGACCGGAAGCTTGCCTGGCGAGACTACTTCCGTCAGGACGACTACCTCGGATGGCACGACACTCGTGCAGACTGTCGTGTCGCAACTTCCTAGCGGCGGTGCAGGTGGCAACGCGGGTGGGCAGGGCTCGACGACATCGGCCACAAGTGGTTCGGCATATTCTGGACCCGCTGTTGTCAGCGAGGGACCTGCGCTGAATGCTTTTGCTGGGAAAGGTTTGGCAGTCATGGCTGTGGTCGTCGCGGCTGGGCTTCTTTTTGGATTGTAGATATGTCGGAAGGGTTATACCACACTGTACATGTACAGGCCGTGCATTTGGCGGTTGAAAAGACATAATTATAATTGCATCACTAAATTCTGAAAATAATCGCACGGATTCTCAGGAGACTTAAAAGGCTGTCCTGAATGGGTCAGGTCGGTGTTGTCGTGTAAGAAACGGGAAGCAATTCGGAGGACTGGTCATCGAAGTAAACAAAGGCAGGAGGGGTGGCCGGCTTAGGTAAGTCGGGCAAATCAGTCAACTGCACCGCATGCACAGTGCTTGTGTCCACCACCCTCCGAGTCTACACCTCTCAGCGAGCACAAACCGCAAACATGGCCTGTAATGAGCTGTATCAGTACTCCCTTGCCCTTGGTCTCATGGATGGCGTTGCCGACAAGGGCTTACCTATCTCGGACTATCTCCAGCATGGCGATCACGGACTGGGCACCTTCCGCTTCATGAACGGCGAGATGATTGTGGTTGATGGCACCGCATACCAGATGCTTGCTGATGGTTCAATAAAACGGCTTGACCCGAAAGGCGATGCCATTCATCCTTTCGCTCAGATCACGCGCTTCAAACCCGAGATTTCCGCAAGAGCTGCGGTGCCGAGCAAGGAGGAGTTGAATGGCATCGTCAGCGGCTTTGTGTAGGTAACTTCCTGCCTCTGTTTCTGCCAAAGCCCCTGTAGTCCCGCGCAACCTGGTCCAGCTCGATACAGTTGATGGACTCCGGAAGTACTTGTGGCATTAGCCCACTGCTGGAAAGGCGTGACGGTCTACGTGGATAACGGCTGACACCACACTCCTCAGGCCGGGCTCCAAGAACCATCACCTGGCCATGCGTCTCGATGGGCTCTTCAAGTCCATCACGGTCCGCACAGCAGCAGGTCAGACAGAGCCACGGCAACCTATGATGGAAGTTGGAAAGAACCAAGTGGCGTTCAGCTTCGAAAATGTACGCGGCACGCTCGTCGGGTTCAGGCAGCCTCACTACGTCCAGGGCATAGGAATTGCCGGCGATCACCTGCACTTCATCACAGAGGACCGGCACGTGGTGGGCATGTCCTTGCGCTCGAGAGCGATGGCGAGCTTGAGGTGAAGGCGGCGCAGATGTTCAAGATGACGCTGGAACTGCCCAAGGGTGACGAAGAGTTCAACGAGGCGCCTCTGTTGGGCAATCACAAGGACTTGGAGTTGGTGGAGGGTTGAAACGGTGTGGAACAAGGGTTGAGTCAGTCAAGCGGAATCATTGTGCATTATGAGCGCCATTCTAAAGATATTGGCCGGTCGATGGGCCAAATGCTGTCTTCTAAGGCTGAGGGCACCACCACGCCTTTCTTCCTCTGGCGGGTTGCGCAGTCTATTGTCTGATCAGATGGGCGAAGAAGTCCTTGACGAAATAAGCTGATCGCTTAGCATAGCGCGTCTTCTCCGGTGCCTCGAAATCCACCCACGTGACCCCAAAACGGTCGGAGAACCCAGCTGTCCATTCCCAGTTGTCCGTAAAGGTCCAGCCAAAGTAAGACTTGGTGATCACTCCCTCTTGGGACGCCTTGGTAGTGGCAGTCAGATACTTGTTGAAGAAGTCTATGCGGTGCGGGTCCTCGAGAATGTCATCAGGCCCCTTGGGGGCCCAGTCATGCTCGCCCTTGGCCGTGGTGCCGTTCTCAGTGATGTAGATTGGCGTCTGGTAGCGGCTCCATATCCAGCGTAGCAGCTTTGCCCACCCCCATTCGGCTGTCCTAAGCCAGGGAGTATCGCTTTCTATTCCGCGACTTTTGCCCGCCTTGTTGGTGTCATGGACTTCCACATTGCCCTTGTGGTCGTTGGTGTCAGGCGGCTGGTCGCCTCGGTTCTTGATGTAGAACGCACTGTATGAGTTCATGCCGTAGAACTGTGAGCTGCCCCGGATGAGCTTCTTCTCTTCCTCCGTGAACCTCGGCAGCCTCTCTCCCAGCTGCGCACGCATACACGCTGGGTAGTCCACCTCGCCCTTGCCGTAAAGAGGATCAGCGTACCAGCCGATCTCGAACTCGTTCTTGCGCTGCGCAGCTGCGACGTCCCTGGGGTCGTTCTCGTCCCATGGCTCGGACCAGTTGCCGTGCAGAGTGATCATGATCGTGCCCTTTTGAGCAGGCTGGAACTCCCTCTTGTACAGGTCGCACACGTATCCATGAGGAAACCAGTTCCGTGTGGCCAACGATGAAGGCTTCCGTGCTGCTGTCTCCCTCTGCATTTCTGTCACGGTAGCTAGAGCGCCCGGGCGCGTGGACGCCCGCTGCATAGCCCGCGAGCGTGTACACGCCCGGCTCATTATATGTGATCCAATTCTTGACGCGATCACCGAATCTTTCGAAGCAGACGCGCGCATACCGCACGAAGTCCGGCGTGTACTTGTCTTTGTCGAGCATGCCCCCGTAGCGGGTCTGAAGTTCCTGCGGTATATCCCAGTGGAACAGGGTAACGAAAGGCGTGATGCCGTTGGACAGTAGCCCGTCAATCAGGTTGTTGTAGTACTGGATGCCCTGTTCGTCTATGGGATCGTCTTTGCCGCCGAGAGGAACGATACGACTCCATGCCAGCGAGAATCTGTAGGCTGTGACTCCGTATTCTTTCATACGGGCCACGTCCTCTTTGTAGAAGTCGTAGGACCGAACAGCATCCTCATTGGTACTGGCGTCTTTGATACGCGAAGGTTTATCGTGGCACCAGATGTCCCAGATCGACAGCCCTTTGCCGTCCTTATTCCAAGCACCTTCCACTTGTGCTGCGGCGGTCGCGTAGCCCCATTGGAAGTCGGCGGGGAGGGCGCCCTTGAGGGAGGGGTCGAAGTCGGAGACTGAGTAGCTCGTCATGGTCAGTCGCTTGTCACACCGCGTCGTCGTCTCGCTCCAAACCAGGAAGGACAATGTCACCTTTTTAAACAAGGAACGGGGCTTACCGGAGGGGCTCCTGGACCATGGACATCACATTGCAGCCGTCGTCATGGCCTGACGAGCTGCACGAGAAGCTGGGAAACCGTCGGATCAGCGTCTCGTGAGCGGAAGCAGCAGCTGTCTGAAGGTCGCGCGCTGCGCAGGCTGCGTTCATTCGTGGAACAGGTCCATCGGTGAAGCTTTGTCCGAATGTCGTTGGGCCCCATGCCGTTATCCGTCGGGTCAATTGGGAAGAGGTCCGGCACCTAGGGCCGCTGTTGCCGACTGCTCACCTAGCTGCGACAAGCAGTGCAGAAGATCGTCGAAGAGGGTTAGGATTATTTGTGCTGTAACAACCTCCCCCCCCCCCAAACACACTCACCCTGGGCGGTTGGCGCATCAAACTTTACTGGGTATTTGGCAGATAATTTGTGATCATCTGTTGAATATGATGTTGTTTCAATTTTTTCTGTTGCTGAGCAGTAGTAAATCGGTCTAATGGAATCAACGTTGTGAGGAAAGCTTAAGTAACTTCTCTGACATCAAGGAGCATGCATGGTGTTGACTTTTTATGTCTTCCAAGTCAAACCAGCTGCGAACCTATCGTTGCAGTTGTCGACATTATAAAGAGTCCGGATCTCAAAATACACATTCATTTGCCGCCTGTGTTGTTCGATTCCTTAATGACACGAATATATTCACGTCACCCGATGCATCGTGCATTCTTGCTTGAGATTCCTCATTACTGTTGTAGCCAGGACAGTAAACGCGATAAACATCGATTGCCAAATATAATGTCGCAATACAAGAAAAGCGAATGAACATTTGTTGTCTTCCAAGGTTTGCCAAGCAATTGCCATTCTGTTTACAAGGCGTCGTGTTGGTCAAACTGTGGTTGTGCCGTCCTGGGCCTTCGGCTGGCCGGCCTGCGGGGTGGTCTGTTTGGGTTGAGCAGCCCAGGACCGGGCGGCCCAGACGCAGTCAAGAAATGTCCATCGCTATCTTGCTAATGCTGTGAGACATGAAACAAATGGACACGCACGGTGGCCACGGTCTTTTTCTGTTACAACGTTTGAGTGCAGCAGACTGCACAAGACCCTTGAGCCGAGACCACAGAAAACACCTTCTCTGTAAGAGAGGCTGAAGTGGGCGGTCCTCTGTCAGATTCAACTAAAAGCAGAGATTGAGGACAATTTCAAGGCCACTTGCAACCAGTAAAGCAACAATCGGGATCTTAAAAGCCGACTGTAGGGACTCAAAATTCGACGTGAGCTTCTTCCACTGGTCACCAGAGCTCCCCGTCCTGCACATGCGTCCTAACTCTAGGTTGAATTCATTTGTCCTTTCCATTTCGCAAGCCAGTTCTAAATAACATTTACAAGGAATAGGCACGGATAGAAAACATGGTATCATACGAGGAATTTGCAGGTCTGTAACACCTGTCGCTTGTCCCCCAGAGGCCCTCATCGTGTTCATTAGGCATCATACTGACCTTTATGTAACTACAGCTTTCAACGAGTAAGTTTCATTGCAACGTACCACAAGCAACTGGACGATATTGAGCATACATTGCCACAGATTTACACTCCAGTGTCCTGGGTACATCATCAAGGCGGCATTGGGCAGAATACGTAGCAGTCGTGTCGAGTTGCTGGAGACTTATGGAGCAAATGTAAGTATCTACGTGCGTCGCCTTTAACAAAATTTGCTCATGAAACTGTCTTCCAGGCCCGCAAAGAATCCTGGCTCGCGACTTTGAGCTCCTTTACGCATGAATTTTCCAGTCTCGATAGAACAAGGTCGGTCCCGCAACCTTGGATAGATGGCGAGGCATATCGCGTTATGGCAGCCGAAGCAGTAGGCAGAGTGGGGTACTCACTGACCCTATGGTCCTCTGAGGTACGTGCGTTCCTCCGCCTGATCTAATGAGCCACCGAGCACACTCTGCTCGTTTTGCGATTGGACTGACGACTGCGAACAGGAGCCACTCCAGGTTGTGTCTGTTTGTAGTACGGCAAATGGCTATATCATCTTTGGATTCGCAAACGGTCTTCAATCTCACGCGCCTGAATTCACGAAGAAGGCTGTACAGAGTTTGGCTACCAACCTGACCTCTGGAGCAACCGATACAGGGTTGGCATTATTGGAGCATGGTGGAAAGATGCGTGAACATCAGATACGATTCGCCTGACGCCGTTGTCATAAATCTTATAGTAGAAATCACAAGCATTTTTGTTTACTCGTCTAACTCGCCCCAGCCTCCATCTGCTCCCATGTGCCAGTCGCGTGCCAGGTTCCAGCTTTCGTATAATCGCCACTCTGTAAGCCATATGCAGCAGACAAGGCGTAGTAGGCGAATCTGAAATACTCTGGCAATGACTCGTCTCCACTAGATCTCTGCCAGGTCAGAGACTGCTCCCCTTGTGCGGACCGATAACGCTCCACATCGTTGACCAGAACACTTGCCCCAGTGTAGCCCTCGGGAACGCTAGGCCAGCTGAACGTGATACTTGACGCCGTTACATTGGAGGCCGTGATAGTAGGCAACACCGTCCCCATGATGGCATCACCCTGAAGCGCAGCAGCCGTCTGCAAGATCGAGTCAAAACCCCACTTGGCCACGCCATTGATGAAGAGGCCGACGAGTATTCCTTGGTACACGAGACTTGGTCTTGTTTGGATTGATGTCCCTGGAATCAAAAGGAGGCCAAGGATGTAGTGGTGTATACGGAGTGACTCGTTGGGTATTGCGGCCAACAGGCCAATGCATATACCGAGACAAACATACAGCCCGAGGTAGCGGAGGAGGCGGCCCTCCCTCCGAAACGCCCAGGCCTGACCGACAAACACCACAAATAAGACCACTACAATGATAACCAGGGAGGCGATTGCACCTGGTTGCTGGTTAATGTCGTGGCTTGTGAGTCTCGACAGAGGAATGAGCTCAAAGGTGTAATCTGCGAGAGCAGCGACCCAACATGGGCCAAGCCACAGGATGGTTTTCTCAACCTGAGCCGTTAGGCCCAGCAGAGTCCGGCGGATGTAGAGCGTGAACATGACCTGCGCGATGAATAACGCTGGGAGAAGATCGCCAAGAGCGATCGAAACCAGGGTGTATATGTCGGCGTACTGGGGGGTAGATGTGGCCAGGGCCGACTGAAGATAACACCCAACGAGGACGGAGTAGAAGAATATCGACGGAGACTTGGTGAACAAAGACAAGATTGTCGTGTAGACAACAGAGACAGCGAGCAGCTGCCATCTGAGATCCTTGCAGGCCACACCACTACCTTGCACGAAGGTGAAAGATGATGGGAAAGTCGAGTCAAATCCCACACTGCGAATTCCGCTGCGAGTCACACTAGGGTAGTTACTCTGCTGGCCGATGAGGGACACCAGCCCACAGCCACCTTGGGAGTTTGATATCACGCCAGCGTGGATGGCGGCAGAGCAAATAAAGGAGTCTGCCCTGTAAACAAAGCCAGATGCATCATCAGACCCAGCATTGGCATCTGAGGTTGGGCCGCCGACCACCAAGGTCTCATATATGACTTCTTGAGCGCCAACGTAGCGAGGGTTGAGTACTTGTTGGGTGCTGCAGCTTGCAGGGCACCGGAATGCGAACGAGCTGTTCGCGAATGGCTGGCAATCGATGCCATCTAGACCACACCCGTTGTTCTGCGACCTGTTCAGGAGTTAGCACAACTGAACACACGCGAGGGGCCTCGTCGGCGAGCCGTACCAGAAGGAAGCGCCGCATCCGACCAAGAACGGTGACCCTTGACCATCGACCTCATCCACAGCAGATGACTTGTGCATGACGGCACCGAACGTCGCGATCCAGCAGACGTAGAATACCAGGAGTGCGATTGCACGTTGCCACAGCCGCGGGAGAAGCTTATCGACCAGACGCAGAGGCAGGTGCTGCACACGAGGGAGCAGTGGCCGTATTTTCCATGTTCGCGTCGGCTCGGGTCCTCTAAGCCATCTCACAGTTGCCCCAGACCTGCGTCGAACTCCATTGGGAACGCGCTGCTTCAGTGCCTCGGCGAACGCGCGGCCCCGTGCCGGCAGGTGCTCGTCGCGTGGTCCAGCCGCGCCGTCGTCTGCCGGCGTCGCGCGGGCGTCGGCGCTTTTCCTGCCGCCGGGTTGGGCAGAGTCGGCCCTCTTGACGGCGCTCTCGAGATCCTGCGACGCGTCCGAGGAAGCCATCGTGGCCGGTGCTGGCGAGCTTCATTGAGAAGGGAGAGGAAAAGGAACGAGGCGCGTCCCAAACGTCATCGGAAACGCTCCTGCCGTTTGATATCGGCTTGTGAAGTGGACCTGAGTGGCGCCGATCCAACGCCGGACATAACGCGGCGCTAGAGCATTCCCAACGGGCGGCAGGTGCTGTGGCTAGCGTAACCCACAGACTCGGGACGAAACACCGTCTGTGATCACTGTCCACTGCGCCAAAAGCTTGGGAGCCCGGAGTGCCATTTCAACCAATTACTCGGCACAACACTTTCGAATTGACAGTGTTCAAACATCCAGGGTTGTAGCTATGGTGACTTATCTTATTGAGCGCCTCCCACATGTGCACATGTAGTACAATGTGCACTACACTGATGGGGAATGGCATGGAATGGTGTCGTCATTTTGGTCAGTGTGCCGCCGGGTCAACGTGCAGAGGGATTCGAAGGTTGGTTGGCAGGTTGGCACACTCCCGGGAACGATAACAAGACGTCGCTCACACACAATGCACAGGCTACAGAATGACCAATGTGGAGATAAGGTTCAAGAGTGAATCTCGACATGCAGCGGGAGGCTAATTATTCTCCGGCACGATGTGATGTCGCCGTGGAGCGGGCGTGCCTGTCTAGCATTGCCAAGAACAAACACACTCCAGAACTAAAAATCCGCAAGCTTCGAACACATCCTCGGCTCTCGATCCCGTCCGGCCACTCCCACCGCTAGACACTTGCCGAAGGGAGATCCGAGCCTAGTAACTCGTATTACAAATAGGGAGCCCCTTTTCGAACATTCTCTGGCGCTTTCCATTGGTGATGTCACGCCAGAAACCACATAATTCGTCCGCCGTTCGGCCGAATTTCCGTCTCCATCATTGGGGCAAGCGATCGCGAAAGAATTTCTCCCCACTCACGGCATTAACACCGACACGCTATATCAAGCACGGTATCTGTTAGTGCTTATAAACCTCGACTCTCCTTTTGGGAAACAGTGGTCAACGTCTCTTGGCTGCCGCCCGCATGTCGCCAAGTCTTCCTCGCCGGTGGAGGTTTTCTCCAATCATTACGAACGTCAACAATTACAAACAGGGGCCAAGGTTGGTAAGCGTCAGCCGTGATTTTGTTGATATAACTTCTGCGATAGACACGCCGGGTATTCGTTAGAAAAGTGGTGACGGATTCATCTAAGCCATAACCTCTAGCATCGATCCTGCTACAGTTTCACACGGAAGACCGACTTTCACCTGTCCGTCATCCACTTGGTCGGCGGTTCATCTTCGAGGCTAGTCTGATACCCTCGTTTCCAACATGTCAGGATACTACCCAATCACCAAGCCGGTTGTTCCTCCCAGCCAGGCCCCGAGCAAGCCATCACTCTACAACAAGCCAGCAGAGGGCGTTCCCTTTTTCACCCCGGAGCAGTCACCCATCTCAGGAACGGCTTTCGACCCCCAGCCCAACGGCAAGGCTATCCCGAAGGTCTTCACCCCCATCAAAATTCGAGGCGTAACCTTCCAGAACCGCATTTTCCTCTCCCCTCTCTGCCAATACTCTGCCCTCGACGGTTTCCAGCAGCCATGGCACACCGCTCACCTCGGCGGCATCATCTCCCGGGGGCCAGGCCTATCTATCGTTGAGGCCAGCGGGGTCCAGGCCAGGGGCCGGATCACCCCCGATGATCTGGGTATCTGGACCGACGCGCACATCCCAGGGCTGGCACAGATCGTCCAGTTCGCCCACTCCCAGGGCCAGAAGGTCGGCATCCAGCTCGCACACGCCGGCCGCAAAGCCAGCACCGTGCCCCCCTGGCTCAGCTTCGGGGCCGTGGCCGACAAGGACGTCAACGGCTGGCCGGACGACTGCGTCGCGCCGAGCGCCCTGGCCTACAACGACGACCACTGCCAGCCGCGGGAGATGTCGCTCAAGGAGATCGAGGAGCTCAGGGCCGACTTCGTCCGCGCCGCGGTGCGGGCCGTCGCCGCCGGCTTCGACGTGGTTGAGCTGCACAACGCGCACGGGTACCTGCTCCACCAGTTCCTGTCCCCGGTCTCCAACAAGCGGGCGGACAAGTACGGCGGCAGCTTCGAGAACCGGGTGCGGCTGACGCTGGAGATCGTGGAGGGGATCAGGGCCGCCATCCCCAAGGATATGCCTCTCTTCGTCCGCATTTCTGCCACCGACTGGCTCGAGGAGGTCCCCGAGTTCCCCGAGAGCTGGACGGTCAAGGATAGTGCCAAGCTGGCCGCTCTGCTGGCTGAGCGTGGCGTGGACCTTCTTGACGTTTCTTCTGGCGGTCTGCACCCAGCTGCCAAGGTCAAGGGTGGACCAGGATATCAGGTTCCGTTCAGTAAGGAGATCAAGGAGGCCGTTGGTGATAAGTTGCTGGTTTCCGCGGTCGGGAGTATCAGAGAGGGCAAGCAGGCAGAGCAGATCCTGACAGCGGACACTCCTCTAGACGTTGTATTTGTTGGAAGAATGTTCCAAAAGGACCCCGGGCTGGTCTGGACCTGGGCCGATGAGTTGGAGATCTCGATCAGCGTGGCCAACCAGATCGCCTGGGGCTTCGGTGGAAGGGCCTCACGGCCTTCGAGAAAGTTAGAAAACCTCCCATGATCCGGCCTGCGAGGATTTAGGGAGACCAGGGACTAACTTTCTTGCCTAGAACCAAACTGTAAATACAGAAGGGAGTAAAGACTGGAGATAGAAAGGGTTCCATGCTTTGGATCTTAGAAAGAACGGGCAGAAAGCTCACAATTACAATGGTCATTGCGGAAGCTTTTGGAAGCAGATGATGGGACAGTCTTTTTTGAAAAGGTTTCCCGGCCGTAAATCGTCATCGAGGACCCTACGTGATCAGATGATGCTGACGGCGAAAACGAAGGACTTGCGCGTCGAGGTCGACAACCTGCACTCCTTCTCTCTGTGGAGGAAACGGGAGTGGAAGTAGACGAATGGCAAGTCTGATTGAAGTCATTCTGATTCGCCTGTCAAGAAATCATGTTGGTTGCTCTACATACAAGAGCGCGGCACCTCGGGCTGTCCAGGGTCCAGGCAGCCAGGAACCTGGATGGATGGTCACCTCAACTAATCCTCCAAGGTCGGGGAAAGGGGTTCATTTCAAGATCACTGAGCTGCGAATATGATTTGCCAAAGGCCGACTGAAAAACGTTGACTTCTAAATTGGGCAGCCTTCAAGACGTGACCCAGTCATGTCTTCAAATATAATCAAATGGCACAGTGAGACAGGGGGATACTGTGGATCATTCCCGCCAAGAATCGGTGGGATTGCGGGTGACGTTGAGTACCGACACGACGAATTTCCACCATTTGCCACAAAAACCCGAGCAGCGTGTACTCCATTATGAGTGTATGTAGCTGCCACTTTGAAATTAAGTCGATGTACCCACTCGAGCACCACCCCCCTCCCGCACAGCCGTTTCCCACCAAAAAGCCCGATTTCAGCCTATTTATAAATAAATCTAGGAAAATGTAGAATAAATATAAATTATATGTAAATTTAAAGGATTTTATACTTATTATAAATATATTTTTAAAAGATTTATTATATATTTATAATAATATTAAATAAATAAAAGTATACTTAAAATTAAGAAGTTAAAAGTTTTATAATGGTTAAAATTTACATTGCAAAAGTGCTTAAGTTAAAGGTCTTGGCAGTAAAAATGGCAACTTTTTTTAAATAAAATTTTTATTTCTAATTATCTCTCCATATTAATTTTATATAAAAAATTTTATTAAACTTTATTTTTAATAAATAAAAAATTTACTAAATATATATATATATATATTATTTAATTTTCATATTTATATAGATTTAGTTATTAATAGGCTGAAATCGGGCTTTTTGGTGGGAAACGGCTGTGCGGGAGGGGGGTGGTGCTCGAGTGGGTACATCGAGATTTTACTAACGGCCCGCCCCGGTGTTAAGGTCGGCCTATTCGACCGTCACGTAGTCCACATTGCTCCGAACCTGCGGGGTCCCGGAACCAAGACAGCCCCGACAGGCCATCAGGCATGACACAGTGTACCGGCATCTCATGCCCAAGTAACAATATTGAACCAGTAGGATGGATTCTGATCCAGGTGATTCATGGCCATGTCTCATGTCTTTTCTTGAATCCTCTCCCTAATTGGCTTGATTCGGAGCCCTCCTGGCCTGCTACTGCACAATGTATGATTCGTTATGTCATGGTGAGGCCCGTCCGCTACTACCTCCATAGTTGCAGGAGAGATGTATGATGGACTAAGGCGAGTTATCCTTGGTGAAGAGACCACTCGGGATCCACTCGAGCTGGATGTGATACGCCTCCCACATGGTTGGACGTTGCTCTTCTCGGGCCACAAATGCTGTCCGTTACGGTGAGGGGTGTTTTGCTTCAAGAACTCATATAAGGCACAACACTTCCTCACACGAAGATATTGTGTTACACCTCGACCTCGATATCTGGGCTGCAGAATCTTAGCCTTCACCCAATCGAAAAACGACACGCGCCTTCGATCCTCTATCAGTGTATCCGGCTTCGAGAGCTCTCGCCGCTATTGCCAGGCCTATCAAAATGGCGGCCCTTGTTGAAAACATAACCGATCACCAAGCCTCGAAACTGTCCTGGTTACTCACAGTGATCTGTGTTTCGGTATGAAATCCAACCCAAGTAACAAAGACTATGATGGGATCACAGAAGGACTGACTGCCTTGCAGCTTGTCGGATATCCTGCCGCGAAGATCATCTACAACCTCTTCTTCCACCCACTACGTCGATACCCGGGTCCCAAGCTATGGGCAGCAACCTCTATCCCCCAAGGCCTGAACATATGGATGGGAAGACCGCACAAGAAGTTGCTCGCGATGCACAAGCGATACGGTAATATCGTCCGCATCGCGCCGGGCGAGCTCTCATTGACGCACCCGGACTCCTGGAAGGAAATCCAGGGGCACGTAAAGCAAGGCCAGCCCGAGAATGGAAAAGACCCGAAGCTCTTAAACCCCGCTTTTGACTCAAGCCTTGTCTCTGCCCCGCGACACAGACACGGGCCCATGCGCCGGACGCTGGCTGCGGCTTTCTCGGTGCGTGCTTTGGCTGCGCAACAGCCGTTGATCAATGGCTTCATCGACTTGCTCATACAGAGGCTTCGCGAGAAAGGCGAAAATGGCGCAAAATCACTCAACATGACCAAGTGGTACGAGTGGGCTACTTTTGACATCATTGGGAATTTGGCTTTGGGAGAATCTTTCCAGTGTCTGGAGAGATCCGGCTCTCATCCATACGTGGACAATATCTTGAACAGTCTCAAGGTCCTTCCTCTCAACCAGGCGTTGCATTACTTCCCGATCCCGGCCTTTCTAAGGGGCCCGTTGTTTGTTTTGCTCGCGCCGAAAGAGGTACTCAATGGCGACTCGTTGATCATCAACTACAGCCGGGAGACACTGAACAAACGAAGGTCGCTTGGTTCAGAACGACCAGACTTTGTGGACGCAATGCTGAAAAAGGGGGGCGAATACGTGAGTCACACTTCGACAATCCCACCATCTCGCGAGCTTCTGTATTTCCTTTTGGATAGTATTGTTGACAGTCATTCAGAAAATGACAGAGACTGAGTTGATCGACAACACGCGACTGCTCACCTCGGCGGGTGCGGAAACAACCGGAACTACCCTCGTGACAGCAACATACCTTCTGTGCACACATCCAGACGTCCTGACGAAGCTGAAAGCTGAGGTTCGCTCGACTTTCAAGAGCGACGCCGAGATCGACTTCAACAACGTGCAGAATCTGCCGTTCCTCGGCGCCGTCATCTCGGAGACGATGCGTGTACATCCGGCAGCTCCAGCGGCGTTCCAGCGCATAACGCCGCCGGGCGGATCGATGGTTTTTGGCGATCACTTGAGCGCGGGAGTAAGTCGAGCATGTGGGCAACAACCACGCACCTTGATCATCTCAGGCTGACGTCTTACTCGCAGACCACTCTCGGGATCTGGCAGTGGGTCGCCTACCACGACCCTTCCAACTTCCTCTACCCAGACGCCTTCATCCCTGACCGCTGGGTGAACGACCGTCGCTTCGACAACGATAACAAGGACATCTTCCAACCCTTCTCATACGGACCGCGGAACTGCATTGGAATGAAGTAAGTATTCCTTCCATTATGTTTCTGTTTCAGATAAAAACCCTGCCTGAGATCTAGATGTGGTGCTGACCTACCGGTTTAGTCTTGCATTCGTCGAGTTGCGCCTCATACTTGCCCGCATCGTCTTCAACTACGATATGGAGCTTGCCCCAGAGTCCCGAGGCTGGGCCGACGACCAAGAGCTTTTCAGCTTTTGGAATAAGCCTACATTGAACGTGCATTTCAAATCGCGCAAGGCGGAGTAGCAATGTAGTTCCTTTGCTTGATTGTTTTGGTATTCTTGATTTTGGTATTCTTGATTTTGGTATTCTTGATTTTGGTATTCTTGATTTTGGTATTCTTGATTCTTTTCAAAGAATGTGTGCTAAAGGATTGCGAGGAAGGGGAGATGAGTCACGAGCAGTTGTGCTTCTTGATAGCATCAACTACCAACTTGGCATTGGCAATGGTGGTGGTTCAATGAGGATACAAAATCATACAATGAAAGCCTGGCTGTCTGGTAGGTCCACCTCCGATGTAAGACTGGCAAACTTTGGTGGACATGCGGTCTGCAAAGCACGTCATTGTTGTACTTGCATCTGTCCCGGTCCCGTTATTCTGTCTCTGCACTAGACCAAAGCGAATTCTTACATGGCTGATGAATGATTCGTGAATTTTTACCTGTGAGAAATTTGCTGAATGATTTTCCAACACTCTCTTGCAAACGCTTGGTTGGCATACTACCAGATGTTGAGCTGTGATGGCGGACGATTATATTTTGATGTGTCAGGCGGAGTCCTTGGATTTCCAAAGAATCCAGGAGGATACTGGATTGGTGTTTGACCACGAGTCCTTTGTCCTGCTATAGCAGCTTGTGGTTGAGATGGTGCTTGGTCCCTTTGCCGTTCTGGAGGTTGAGGCGGAGCCATGCTGTGATAGTTCGCCTGATGTGTCCCAGCGTGGTACGCAAAGGTCGATTGGGCAGGACGAGAGGGCTCCCCGGGAATACTTCCCATGAGCTCGAAGCGCTGAGTAGTCCTCCGCGGTTGATCTTGTTGCATGGGCCTCTGCCGTGACTCCATGTTGGAGTTGAACTGCTGCGCACTGCGGGCTTCACAGACGGTCGGGTGGCGTGCTTGTTGGAAGAGGTCGCATCAAGCTCGACACGGTACTCGGGTCGAATAGACACCCCCCACCCGTGCTGAGCAGCTGATCTGTCTTGTTGCACTGGCAATACCCGAGGACCCGGTTGAAGTGGCCGCAGTCCCTCCCCTCCACCGTTGGTAGGCACAAGGAGGCTGAGAGCTCTTCCTTCCCTTTCTCGCTGGTCCCTCAATTGTCTCTCAAGATCGTCTCGTTTCTTCCGCTTCTTCCTTTCCGCAAACCACTTGTCCCAATACTCATTATCCTGCTGTATTATTTTCAGCCTCTCATTTTCTCTGGCCCGCCAGCCAGGTGCTCTATCTGCAAGCCTCGGTTCAGCCGCCAAATGAACTTCGCCATTCTTTTCGGCTTCTAAGAGGTGTGGATAAGCGGGCTTTCCTATGCGGCGCCACATGGCCCGATGAGACTTGGACTGCGATAGAATTTTGATACAGGTGTGTCGATGGAAATGAGGACGAGATTCTTGAGTTGCTAAATCAGTTTCTATAATCGTTCATTGCAACAAGCAAGCCTGAGGAAAGTAGGATTTTTATTCTGAGAGCGGGTCTGGACATATGTCTTTCCTAGGATGGCAGGATTTCTCACCCACCTAGATACTGGACGAAAGCCGCTGTTGTGATTGCTGCACAGAGTCTGCCTTGTCTTTTGATTGCCTCACACAGCTGTGACGACCAGTTTGACAGTTTGACCGACCCGCCAACTCATTCTCCGGCTCAGATGCTTCCACTACTCGCCACAAGGCAGCATTCGTTGACAGGATGTAACAGCAAGTCACTTGAGCAGCCCAGCACCCACTCATTTTTCAGTACCCACGCCGTGTACCTAACCAAGTGAGCACACATCGGAAGGGTTTTGACGGGGAGCCACGTGGACTGATACATGTTTCTGGAATGAGCATTGTGCCAGTGTACTACAGGTATGTATAACACTACCACAGGTTAGATCCGCCTGTCTAGCGTCCTCTTCTCCCGGTGGCTCGCGTGTGGTTGGATATCTCGGAGTTATGTAGCAACGGGGAGGTTTATCCGGCTGGCAATCATTCAACATTGTCACAATTTTAAACCCGATAACTTTTCAGGCCTGCTCAATGATCAGTCTTATAAGTTTGAGTCCGGACAAGCAGATATACCCCTGTTCCAGCCGAGTGCTCGAAGACACGAGCAACTGTCAAGTGCCGATTGGTACCCGAAGAGCCATACCGTATCGTTGATACTGTCGTTTCCAATGAGATCATTCTGCGGACCGTGAGCTACAGATCAGTCCATCGCTTTGCTACTTCTAACAGGTATTAAGCGTGATAAACATTCTCTGATGCGTGCTCCATGTCGCTCAGCGGAGACCGGAGGTGGATAACGATCTGGATCTGGATAAAACGGCAAGCCGGCCCTAGCTCTTCCCGCAAACATTGACTTTGGGCCGCTGCAAACTCTGACGGGAGCCCAGGTACCACAAATGATATCCGCTCAATGGGGCACCGCTGCGTCGTGGGGCAAAATGCAGGGGCCCATGGCTGCGCCACTATTTTGGTGGCCAGACGGCCATACGACCGCAGCTCGAGCGCAGGACGTGGCCATGTGTTACCACACCGTTCGTCCATAGCTACCAGAGGTCTGAGAATTTGTTAGTGCAGATCCCCCCAACAGACTCACCTCTGCAGGACGAGAGCGGCTCTCCCCTCGACCAACGTCCATCCTTCTGCCCTGCGTGCTGTCCTTTTTGAATAGTCAGGGTTAGGGCTCACGACATCCGGGGGGCCCCTCTGCGGATCAGAGGCGGTGGGACTGACCAGGGTTTGTTGACATCTCCACGAATGCGAGACTGACGCGACTCAAAATGGAGCTCGACGCCCTGGTCAAAGAGCTCGAGCCAGGCGGTGAGAAGAATTCTTAAATATTCGAGCGTCGACGTGGTGGAGTGAGGAGGGAGCAAATGTGAGAGCTGGGACATCTTTCTCCTCCTTCACCACCACCTTCTCCAGCTCTGTCTGCGCTTGTGGCCCCTCCCGCAAAGATGGCAGACCTTGATACCTTCTTCAACATCGCAGCCTTCCTCGCAGGCCTGTCGCTGCTTGAGCGCGGCGCCAAGCTCTTCGTGGGGAGCACCACCGAGTTGGCGAAGCGCCTGCGACTGCCCGAGGTCCTCGTGGCGATCCTCATCGCCGGAGCCGAGTGGGAAGAACTGGCCGTTGTGACCCTCAGCATTGCACAGGAACGTCCCGCTCTGGCTGTTGGAAACGTCATCGGCAGCTCTGTGGCCAACATCCTGGGCGCCTTTGCCCTGGGCCTTGTCTTCTCGACGGGATCATGGAGTGGCTTTGACAGGACCTCGAAGATTGCGACCCGGGGGCTTCTGGGCTTCACGACTTTCGTGTGGCTGTTTGCACTGGCACACCTCATGTGGAACCGTGTCGTGGCGTCTTTGCTCCTTGTTGCCTTCGTGGGATACCTCTTCGTTGTTCTGTGGACGATCTGGCAGGCAATGTTTTACACCGAGGACCACGAGAGAGACGACGTCGAGTCCCACGCTGCTGCCCATGACGATGCTGCCTCATCAAGCTCGTCCTCTTCTTCAGACTCCTCCAATGACGGCCACCGTCACCACTTCCTGGATCGTCACCGTCACTTCGTGGATCGCCACTTTCTGCGCCGGCGTTCCGACGAGCCCAGTGAGACCACCACTCTCCTTGGCATATCCCCGCCGGAGGGATACAACCCCAAGATGTTCCACCACACTCTTGCCCCAGCGCTTCAGGTCCTGGGTGGGTTCGCCGCTCTCACTCTCAGCGGTTTCATTCTGTCCCGCACGTCGATTCAGCTCGCGTCGGCCCTGAACATGTCCGACAGCGCATTCGGCGCCACTTTCCTCTCCCTGGCCACAACGCTCCCAGAGAAGTTCCTGGCGGTCATGAGCAGCTCCAAGGGCCACACAGGGCTCATGGTGGCAGACGCAGTCGGGAGCAACATGTTCCTGCTGACGCTGTGCCTCGGCATCACGGCGTGGACCATCGCCGCCCACGACTGGCACGACCACGACAGCGAGGAGGACGGGGGTTTCGCCTACGTGGGCATTGCCCGCATCGAGGCCTGGTGGCTCTGGACGGCCACTATCGCGCTGACCGTCATCGTCAACTTCGGCGGCAGGCTCTTCTGCAAGTTCGCCCCCGTGAGGCACGTGGTCGGCATCTTGATGCTGATGGGCTACGGGGGGTTTCTGGCGATCGAGTTCACCATCCTGCGGGAGGAGTAAGGCCGAGGGCTTAGGTTTCAAGGCATACGCATCGTCACGACCGTTCATGTCAGGGTAACGTGATCAGGTATGCGATCTAAGGATTCTGGCGTTAGCCGAAGGCGGCAGTGGCTCGTGGCGGTACAATGGTTTATCTTGACTAGCTAAGTCACGAGACACAGTGCAGGGTATAAGTCTCAGTGGCCGTGTGGGAACTCTGGTGCTGTCAGGGAGTAGACGGACTGGGAATCGCTATGTACTGCTTGTGTAAGCTTCAGGTGAGAGCACATTGCTCGGTTACACTGCGTTTTAACAGTAGTTGCTCGTAAGGGAAATTGGGGGTTATTTGGTCCAAGTGATTAAGAAAGTGCCCAATACCAAGGTTATCATTGCTTTCGTGAGACTGCATCTACCCTGCACCCTTAAATACTCCGGCCCATCCTCTTCCTGACTGTATTCATAACAATAACTGGGCCCCAACGATAAAAAGTAGCTGCTGGAGGCCACCTCCCTGTCTTCCAAAAAGGAGATGGATATTTTCTGCACCTAGCAAGTTCTGCCACTGAAACGAAAAGTTCAGTGAAAAATCGAAGGAAGCCTTAATCGTAATAGACCGCCTCGTCCAAAAATTAAGCCTTATTAGGCTGCCAAAAGTGAATAATTTCGTCGTTATCAGGCCGTGACCTAATAACGCATGGTTTGACCAAAACCTTGGGTCTGTCGGGTTTGCCTCATTGGGTGAAGATTATTACTTTGTCAGCAACGGACGCTTTCAACCAGATGATGCGGTCTTCAAGGCGGTTTCTAAGAGACCCAACGCGTCCTCCACCAAGAATGCGTCCTGTCCTTCACGAGCCTCGAATATCAAACACTCTATCTTTGATGTCCTGTCCTCTCGAAGGACCATCTGGTTGCTGTCTGGGATCGATTGCTCCATAGTGACTTTGATCGAAGTCTGCTTTAACAGTCCCTGTCCCGGTGGGAAGTCTTTGAACACCAGGCTGAAGGCGGCCAGAAATGCTGTGAGATCTGCCATGACTGCCTTGTAGCCCTTACTATTCGGAGTAGAGTACTGAGGATCACTCGCCCACTCCGCGCGCCAGGCAAGGAATTCCTGGGTGGTGTGTGGTCCCGTTGAGCTCCTTCGACGATATCATCTCCCAAGGATCATACCTCCCGTGGAAAGCTAGAGACCGAACACCGACAGCGGGGGACAGTTTAGCCAATCCCTGAACCGTCCACTCAAGCTTCTTTGTAGTATCTGTGGGGATCAGGGTAAACCTCCCGAGCTTGTCTTGATGCCGAAAGACGTACTCTGCCGCCTTAGTGTTAAGTGCAAAATTGTACGGATTTCCAAGGATATTGAGCTTCGAGTTGAAAGTTCCACCTTGCTGGAAGTACTGGACTTTCTTGCCCAGCGAAGGCTCCTTCTCGAGCAGTTCTTGTAGTACAGTCAGAGACGCACCTCCGAAGAATGTGGTCTTGTCGTGTTTCCGAATCTCACTGAAGAGGTGGCCGTAGTCGAGGGCTGAGAGAGGAGACTTGCCACCGAACTCCTCTACCTTCCTATCGAGTGCTTTAGTGTACCACTGTCGCAGGCTGGTTCTGCGGTCCTCGATCTGCGGCCCCTCGGACGTAGGCATTTCCATGATGGCACGGAATTCCTTGAGCTCCTCCGCAGAGCGAGCTACAAGCTCATCGTGATAATGAGTCTTCAGATTGATGGGACTTTCCAGCTTATCCAAACAGGGCACGTCGATGTACGCTTCAAAACGACTGCATCGCGTCCTCATGGTAGTCATATAGTCCAGTGCGACAAGCTCTGCGTGTTTGATGGAGTCTTCCCTACTTCCATTCGCTGGCTTGATACATCGCATGAGCTGGCTATATTGTTAGACACCTTCTTCGCTGATAAATGCCAGGCTTAACAAGCGCCTGATAAGATTTTGCTTACCAAGTCCCGCTCGTCGTCGTTCAGCGGCCTGCCGTCGACCTGTCTCCTCTTGATCATCTCCTCCGTCAAGCGACCAGCGAGTACGGTCGTCAGAGGGGGGTCACCGCCTTCCAGAGGAGGCTGCAGCTTGCTGACGAGTCCGATACATCGTCCAAAGTCCCTGCTTGTCATGTAGTAGCCGAGATTGACCCAGCGCGGCTCTGCGATGTAAATACCTTTGACTCCCGGGTTGAGCTTCAGGACCCACGCCCAGAGCTCAGCCGAGGCCTCATTATCGGAATCTGTGAAGTCGTTGAGAAATATGAACAGCTCGGACTCGCCGGGCTGCCCGTCAGGTGATTGAGTGGTCATTGCGCTCTCCAGAATGGCCTCTTTCTGCCTCTTGGACCTGGACCTCGTCTGTCGCGTCGAGCGCCAGTTGCGAAGCTTCTTCAGCGGCATGAGCGAGACCAGAGCCCGTTTTGGAGGCGGTGCTGCTATTTATGGGACACGTTTGTGGGGGGGGGGCCACCAGTTGGTCGACCAGGCTCCGTGACTGGGAGAAGAGGAAGAATGGGAAGCAAGGAGTGAGGTCAATCACAGGTTCAGCCCGCGGATGCGCCCAGCTGACGGCAGAGTGTTGGCCCCGCTTCAAATGGGCTTAAGGCAGCACCACCTGAATCCGCCAGACGCGCTAAACCTCTTCCGGGAACTAGTGGTATGCGGCGAGGGGCTGTGGCACAAGACTTAACCTGATTGCGACGATATAAATACACTTATCACCCAGTGATACTCATATGCATCTTTTCTGCCCTTTCGAAGACGCAGCCTGATTGCACGTAGTTTTTACCAGAGAATTCCCTTTGTCACAAGACAAAAAAAAAACACCTTTTCGAGCTGCAAACGTTTGAGCGTCAGAGGGTGCTCAGGATGATCACATTTGGCAGCACATTTGACATCCACCACCGAAGACGAGTCACTTAGAATCAGTATTGACTGCGAAAACGCCAATCTGATTGCACCGTAACGAATCTACCTATTTAGCGACACCACCGGTTGCATCATACGTGATCATATCAGCTGATGAACCTCTGTGCCCGAAAATAAGCACGGCGCAAAATCCATCCTGAGTGGAACTACGCTTGACCTTATAAAGGATTCAGACGCAGTAGTTGGGATATGAGTGGGCTGCCGAGAGAGGCAGTAGACATATTACTCATGGTTATGAAGATACAAATAGGGACTAATCCTACCTTCATGGCATGACTACTACCCATATCAAAGTATTGTTTCTCTAAACCGAAGGCCCCGTCTCGAAACATAATGAGGGCTTTGCTAGGAATATTTAAATCCACGCTCCGACCATTATCCCATGGGGTTTGAATGAAGTAAAACGAAGATTGCTGAATTGGTAATTAACTCCATTCAATGACTTGTGCTTTCTTTGAATTATGATTGGAAAAATTTCGTGTTCCCATGGCTATTCCAGGTCTCTTCATATACGGGTCTGTGTACAGTCTTGCGCTCTGCATCACCCTCTTGTGTTAAATGTTACATGCTTTTCTTCCTACTCGGCGTCCAAAAGTGCTCAGTTTCTACAAATCCATAGCCATACAATTCACTGAGAAAGTCTGAGCGGGGGCGCAGCCAAACATTACGAGCTTTGGTCGACCGTATTGGAGGAGGTTGGTAGGTCATGGTCGTAGAACGGATAGAAAAACATATCCACATTCCAATATCTTTTTTTAAAATTTGAGTATCGGATGCGGGGTGCCTCGGGTCAGGAGCACAGTATGTACAGTTTTCACTTTCCAAAGACCAGACCACCAAGCAATGAAGCACTTTGCGCCAGTTGGAATGGTCTAGATCGGCACAACGTAGACCCAGTACCGAACATCGTTCGTGAGGCCATTGGGCCGGGTAGTAAGCTGAGTCTGGATGTAATTGACGCGTTGCGGTAGTCTGATTTGCTGTCAGCTTCTTCCCGTCACTGTCACTGTAATCATTGTTGTGGTAGTACGACTTACTCTGGATGTCTTCAGTGTTGGGGTTAACAAGACCCGGTGGCACCATTGCGATGGCCAGCCACCCACCTGTCAAGGCCGTAGTAGTTCTGGCACTCAGGCTCTGTCAGGCATTGAACATCGGCATTAAGGTTAGAGCTATATCAGAAGTAAGCACTTGGCTCAGCGGGCCAGGAGATGAACAGAGCACGGAGGGGGGGCAAACGCACTTCAGAACGGCGCCGTTGTTCCAGTTGCTCTGCGGCTGGCCCTTGAAGCGCGGGCAACACTCGCGCAGCAGGCCCCAGTTCTGCTTGAAGATGCCGAAGTTGGCGCTGTCCTGCTGCTTGTTGTCGCCGTAGGCGTAGTCCGCTGTCATGTGCTCGCTCTCGAGCATGGCAATCGCAAGATCGAAAGTGTTGGCGCCGGCCGCGGTGATCTGCTTCTTGCGCGCTCCGAGTCCGGCGATAGTGTAGGAGCCGCTGTTCTGACGAGCTTCGAGCTCGGCGGTTGGTAATGCCAGGGCGGTGCCGCCGAGAGCCAGGGCGACGAGGGAAAAAGAGAATTTCATTGCGTTGGGCGGGGGGGAGGGGGTTTGCTCCTTTTGAAATTCGCTTGGGTTCAAGAAACGGGGTGGAATGAACTTTGTTGCTGTGTTCTGGCAATATGGTCTACTGGAAAATTGTGATAAACATGAACGGATCTTTTATACTTCGAAAATGCAGTCATGAAGGGCTATCAAGCAATGAGACCATTCCGGATCAAGGGGGCACGGAGCATGCCTGTACGTATTGCCAGTCATTTATTATTCTACACTGACGCCGCGACGCCTCGCCGGCATATCCACGTCGATGGGTGCTGTCAGATTCTACACATGTCTTATAGTGGAATCCTTGTAAATGTAATTAATTTTAATGGTTAACATAATAATTGCTTAATTATTGTTTTATTTTTAAGCTAATGAATAATAAGGGCTGGTTTTTATTTATGAATCTTGTTGCCTTAGGTATTTACCGTAAATTTATGGTAAATTACCAATGAATTACCATTTTCTAGTAAATTTACGGTAAATTTATTATAAGATCGTTTAATTATAATATATTTATTATTAATTAAATTTAATATACTCCCTTAAATTAATAAGAATTAATAGGTTAAATTCTTACTTATTTTTTATTACTAGCTGCTATTAAATTATTATATTTTTTATTAAAGTTTTTTTATATAAGCTGTTTTTAATGCTTTTTAATTTAAATTAATATAAAAACTTATTTTATTTTTTAGCGGGTAATGCTTTTATTAATTTATTTATTATTATTTATGCTAATAATATATATTTTATTATAATTTTATTATTTTAAACCTTTTATTTTAATTAATAATTATAAATATTTATATATTATAATTTAGTTTTAAGTATAATAATTTTAAAGGTTATTAAGTTAATTATTTAAATATTATTATATTTAATTTTAATGATTTTATTATTTAATTTTATAAATAGCTTAATAAAAAGTTAGTTTATAAAAAGTATTTTTTTTATGGCTTAAGTTAAAATTAATAGCTTTGCTTTTATAATAAAAGTTATAATTATATTTTATTTATTTACTTTTTATTTAATAAGTTTATTAAATAACTTTATAATAAATATTTATAAGCTTTTTTAATTTAAAGAGTTATTAATAAAAGATATATTATTAGTAATTATAAATCTTTTTAAATTTTAAAAGTATAAGGTAAAATGCTTAATATAAAGAAAATATAATAATACTTTATTAGCTATATTATAATGTTTTTAGCTTAAATTAATTAAGATTTAAGCAAGTTATAATATAATAAAGGCAATATTTAATTATATAAAGATTATAATAAATAAAAGTAACTTAATTTTTTTTTAATAAAAATAAACTTTAGCTTTTATAATAATAATAATATATAGTAATAATTCTTTAAAAGTTATAAAAACTTTATGGAAAATATTTATTTTATTAGCTAATTTAATAATTTTCTTAATATATATAATTTAAGTTAATTAAATTTATTAATTTATATAGTTTTAAATAATTTTTATTTTAAAGAATTATTAAATAAAGTATTTTTTAATAATTTTATACTATTTTTAAAGTTACTTTATTAGCTTATTTATTTAATTTTAATAATATTTTTAATATATAATAATAATATTATTTATATAAAAAAAGATTAAAATATTATTTTTAATATAATAGCATAGCTTATATAATATTTAGCTGTATTTATATTAAGCTAATATCTTTATAAATTCTTTTTATTATAATAATAATAAGATTTAAAAGCTATAAAGCGCTTTATTTAATAATAAAATAATTTCTTTTTATTAATATTTATATAGTATTTATATAAATATATTTTAATTAATAAAAGCATATATAAAGGCATTTATAATATTATATTATATAAGCTTTAAGTTAAACTTTATTATAATTATTATAAATATATAAAAGGATTATTTTATTAAAGTAATTATATAAATATTTTATATTTACTTTTTTATTTATTAATTTTTTTAAATAATTAATTAAGTTTTATATTTTTTAAATTATTTATATTTATTAAACTTATAAATATAAATTTATATATAATTAAGAATTTATTTTTTAATTACTTAAAAGTTTTTTTTTTTAATTTTAATTTATAATTTTATTTCTTTATAACTTTATAAGTAATTAGCTTTTGCTTATTTAAATAAATATTTAAAAGAATAGTTTTTAAAGTTTTTATATTATTATAATAATTTTAAAAGGTTGCTTTTTTATAATTTTACCTTTTAATATAAGTATTTTTTAATTTATACTTTATTTAACATTTTTTTATTAAATATTATTATTAAGGTAGCTTTAATATTAATTATAAATATAGCTTATTATAATAAATTTATAATAAATTTATTATAAAATAAGATTTTTTTTATTAATTTTAATTAAATAATATAAATTAAAAGCATTAATAAGGGAGTTTATAAAGGTATAAAGAGTAATTTAAATTTTATATTTATATAAGCGTTATTTTATTAATTTATTATAAATTGCCTTTTTTAAGCGTTTTTTATATTTTTTTTAAGGCCTTTATTTTTTTATTAATATATTTTTTATAATTTAATATAAATTAATTCTTTTTTAAAATATTTTTTAAGAAGTTATTTTTAAAAAAATCCTTTCCTTTAAGGTTTAATATTTTATTTTATTTATAAAGGACATAGTTTTTTATATATTTTATAAAATATTTAATATTTATAATAAAGAGTTTATTTTTAAATTTTTTTTTAATTTTTATTAAATTATTTATATTTATTAAAGATTATATTTCTTATATTAATAATTTTTTTAATAAAGGAAATTTATATTTAATAAATATTTAATAAGAAATAATTAATTAAGTAGCTTATTTATATTTATAATTTTAATTATTAATATTTATTCTTTTTTAGCTAAATATTAAATATTATAATATAAGCTTTATATTTAAAGATATATAAATAAGCTTAATTTAATTTTAAATTTAATTATAAAATCTTTATATAAGTTATAATTACTTTATAAAATTTAAAGTAAAGTATTTTTTATTATAAATTATATATTAATATTTAATAATTAAGATATATTATTACTTTTTTAATTTTTAATTATAATAAGTATAATAATCTTAAACTTATTTATATTATATATATTTTTTTTTAATTATATTCTTTAAATGCTTAATATTATTATTTTATATTTAAGTATTTAATGCTAAGGGTTTTAATTTAATATACTTAAATTTAAAAAAGTTTTTAATAGCTTATTTATAATTAAAAATTTCCTTATTTTATTTAATAATTTTAATTTTAATTTTATATTATTATTTTATTATTTTATAAAAAAACTTAAAAATATAAAATAATAATTTTATATATAATTAAAGACTTTATATATAAGCAAAAGTTATAATATATAGCTATAAATTTCTTTTTTATAATTATAAAAATTTAATATAATCTTTTTATTTTTTTATTTATAAATTTTCCTTAATTTTTAATAAATTTATTAAGTATTTAAGTACTTTTAATTTTAAATAATTAAGTTTTTTATATTAAAAAATAGCTTTACTTATAAATAATTTTCTTTAAATATAAGTTATATATTTTTTTCTTTATATATTAAAAGAGCTTAAAATTTTATTAAGATAATATTTAATAATATATTAATTATAAATATTTATAAATTAATAAAGAATTATTTTATTATATTATTAAAGGGTAGTTAATTTATGCTTATTATTTTAAAATATATTTTTTTAAAGTTATTTTAAAAAGATAAAAGTAATTAAAATTTATAAATATAAGGGAATATTTTTAAAATATAAAATAAAATTATTAATTTTTATTAATATTATTTTATATATAATAATTAATAATTAATAATTACTTATAAAAATATAATTATTATAAATAATTAATTATAAATTTATTAATTATTATTTATTATTAATAATTAAAATTATATTTATTAAGTTTAATATTATTAAATACTTTAAAAGATATTTTCTTATAATATTTATAATAAAAGCTTTCTTAATTTTAATATTAATTATATAATACTTTAATAATTAATTATTAACCTTTTATATTAGCTTTTTTTTAATTAACTTTAAAATTTAAAATTTAAATTTAAATTTTAATTTATAAAAAGCTTAAATTTTAGCTTAAAAATTAACTTTATTATTAAATATATATTATATTATTTATTATATTTTTTTATTTAACTTTTAATCTTTATAAACCTTTTTAAGAAATATATAAAAGCATTTAATAAAAGTATAAAGGTATTTATATATAATATATTATTTTATTTTTAAGGATTTTCTTTTCTAAAAAAGCTTATTTATACTTTTTTTTATAAAATTTATTTATATTTTACTATAAAGCTTTTAAATTTTTAATAATATAAATATTTTTATTTTTATTATTATAATTATTTAAATTATTATAAATAATTATAAAAGCTTTTTTTATAATTTTACCCTTTTATAAATTATAATAACTTTTTAACTTTTAATAAAAGTTTTATTTTATTTTATAATATTTAAAGCTTTTATTTATTTTTATTTATTTTTATGCTTATTTATAAGAAATTGCTTATATAAATATAATTTTTTTAATTATTTATAAGAAGTTTAAAAATTATATTATAATATCTTAAGTTTTTAAAAGGTTTTTTTTAATTCCTTTAAATATTATTTTTTTTTTATTAATTAATTTATATATAAATATTTTTAGCTAATTTTAATAAATAAAGAATTTTTTTATTTATTTAATAAAATTATTTTATTTTATTTTTTATAATTTAAATATATTATTTTTAAAGTTATTTATGCTATTTTTATAATAAATTCTTAAATTAATAATATATTATCTTATAAATTTTTAATATTATTTAAAATATTTATTAAATAAACTTATTTATTTTTTTTATTATTTTTTTTTAAATTATTTTAAATTATTTAAATTAAGCTAAGTTTTAATTAAAAAGTTTAACTTTATTTTTAATTAAATTG